CTGTTGCCATTTAGGGAGTAAACCAGCAGGTGGAAGATTCCTCTGTCTCTTTTTCTCTGTCACTCTGCCTTTCAAATAAACAATAAAATATTGTTTAAAATCACTAATAAACAAATGTGGCCTAACTATATAAAGAACACAACAGGGAACAAAAGGTAAATGCGGGCCAGGCAGTAGAAAGGATTGACTGCTACAGTGGAGAAGTTATTTGAATCAGAGGCCAGAAGGGGTAAATGAGTGTTTTCTGAACACAAGAATGAACAGAACAACTGAAACGTGGTGTAAGCCCCGGGTAATGTGGCGGCTCCCGAGGCGTCTGACAGAGTGGCTGTTAGAAGACGACAAGCGTCTCGACATTGAGGTGTAACGTTGGAACCACAAGTTCTGCTGGCGCCAGGAAGTCCAAGACTCACACGGAAAAGTAGGAAAGGGAGAATCGGTAGGATCAGCCGTAGTCCTGACGTGGTGCAGATGGACGCTGCACAGCCGGGTAAGGCCAAGGGAAACAAGCAGTCATTCCACAGGAGACGACGGTTTCTAAAGCGAGTGCATCTCCAAACCAAGATAAAAAATGCTTTTGAAAATATAAACCAGTAAGAATAATGACATGAGAACACAGAAGCAGTTAGACATTCATACACTATCTGTCACATGTGCTAGTTCGTTACTTCATCCCAATAATACCATGAGTACTACCTCTCTTTCAGACAAGATGAAGAACGGGGGTTCTAGGTAACTTCTCCCAGTCAGGGACCTGTGAAGCAGCAGAGCTACGATGTGAGCCCAGGGAAGAGACTCCAGTGCCCATGTTTCTGGCCATCAATACAACAGACGAGACTGACGCCCACTCTGAGAGATGACAGAGCCGAGGTCATCGCAGCAGCTCCCTAGGGAAGGATGAACGTACACTCCGCAGACAGCACTGCAGCCTGCCCTGCCATGTTTCAGTTCTGAGACAGCTGCTAGGATGCCATAAGGACAAAACCTAATAATCTGCAGAGAGCTTAGAAAAGGGGACTGAGAACAAGAATTTCCCTATATAGAGTGAAGGCTGCCTCAACTATTTGGTAAATAAAACTTTAAAGCAGAAAAGTGGCTAGAGTCAAACCTCTGCGGCCTTCAACTGTGGATTCAACCAACCTAGGATCAAAGGTCTGGGGAAAAGCCTGTTCTGAACGTGTACAGAATCATTCCCTTCCCGTTGTTCCCAAACCAACGCAGAGCCGCAACTGCTACACAGCACGCAGGGTAACCTCCCTCCAGGAGTCACTCCATTCACAAATACTCTGTTCAGCTGGCAGTTTCTGATCTCAGTGTGGATACGTACATGGACATTGCGACATATAATCCCCACTTTCTTCAAACTGGATTACTATGAGTCCAAGTTTTCAGCAAACTGGTAAAAAAATTCTTAAACTTACAAATGTGGGAACCAAACTCTGCACCTATGTCTGTGCAATCACAGTGTTAAGATTTAAAGAACGAGGTAGTTCCATTCACTATAATTATCCCTGCCTATTGTTTATTATGTATGTTAACTCTTGTACAAGATAGAGATATATGAAAAACAAAAGCTTCTACCCTTAGAGCATTTACAGTCTGGTCTCTAAAACAGCTGAATATAAACAATGTGAAGGAATTATATACTTTTAAGTGATCAAATGTTTTTTAAATTAGGAAAATATTGATGAATCAAACTATAAAATCTGAGTTAACTCAAGAATGCAACACCAAGGTATAAAAGAGATGGGAAAAAAAATCAAACAGTCCACAGATATGGCTGATGAAATGCTGTTAACCAAAACAGAAATTCTAAAATAAGAGAACTAAGGAGAATGCAGGAGAGGCGGTAACTGGAGAGGTAATGATGGCAAATTTCCAGGAGTGAGTATGTTAACCTTCAAATGGAAGGAAACACGTACCTGAAATTAAATGAAACAAGCTTTATACTCAGATATATTGTGATGAAACTGCCAAACAAAAGTTATAGAGGAAATCTTATAAGCATTCAAGGGGAAAAAATTATCTACCATTTCCTTAAGCAGACTTTCTAATTCCAAGATGACCAAAGATAATAAAAGTATCTTTTATATCAGTATAATTATAAAATTGTAATTTTATAAGTGTTAACCTAGAACCTATACCCAGCTAAACTATCCATCAAGAGTGAAAGCAGGGGCATATTTTACAGTGGTTGGGATGCTACTTGGGATGTCCACAACCTGTATCAGAGTACTTGGCTGTGACTTCTTGTGTACTTGGCTCTATTTCTAATTCCAGGTTCCTAATGGTGTGTATCCTGGGAGGCAGATGATCTCTCAAGTAGCTGGATCCCTACTGCCCACATGCCTGGGTGTTACCAGCACTGGAGAGTGATGCAGCAGATAGGCTATCTCTATCTGTTTGTCTCTATATCTCTGCCCTTTAAATTAAAAAAAAGATCTTTAAAGAATGAAAGCAAAATAAAAATACTTCCAGCCAGAATGAGAGTTTTTATCACTAACAGGTCTCTGCTAAATCACTAAAAATGTGCTTCAATAAATAGGGAACTAAGAGCCAGCATTGTGGCACAGCAGGTTAAGCCTCCGTCTGCAAAGGCACAATCCCATATAAGCAGCAGTTCAAGACCTGGCTGCTTTGCTTCAGATCCAGCTCCCTGCTAATGCGCCTGGGAAAGCAGCAGAAGATGGCCCAAGTCCTTGGGCTCCTGCACACAGAAGACCAGGAAGAAGCTCCAGGCTCCTGGCTTCTGCCTGGCCCAGCATAGGCTGTTGTGACCATTTGGGGAGTGAACCAGTGGATGAAGATCTCTATCTGCCTCTCCTTCTCTTTATGTAGCTTTCCTTTTCAAATACATAAAAAATATATCTTTAAAAATAATAAACTGGAGCTCTCTGTCTCTCCCTCTCTCTTATACTCTCCTTCTCCCTCTTTTCCTTTTTGCTCCTTCCTCTGGTCTGTCTGGTTTCCCCACCAATAAACCTTTTCCCCTAAAATAATAATAATAACAATAAATTAGAAATTATATGCTAAAACTAAAAGTAGGATGAAGACAGCAATAAAAATGTTCAAAAGCTAATCAACATGATAAAGCCAAAAACAATAAAAACTATTACATAGCAACAGGGTGGTGATTTAAAACAACATAGAACTACAGTGTTGCTAGGAAATAAGGACAAGGAAGATGAAGAGAGGCCAGAATTTAAAGTGTTCTAAGATTTTATTCAGGATCTGAATAATATTGATACTTTATACTTTATAAATCAAATACACTTTTTTTAGTTTAAGGGTAAAAACAAATAAAAAAAAGTATAACTTTCAAACTAGTAGAAGGATAAACAAGAGGAATTGGAAAAACTAACAGCAACAAACCTCATACACTTGTTTAATCCAGTAAAAGGCAAAAAGAGCAAATGAAAAGGATCATAAATAGAAAAAATAAGGCAGGGCTGAGGCTATGGCACAGTAGGTTAAGCTGCCGGCAACACCAGATTCCCACATGGGCACCAGTTCATGTCCCAGCTGCTCCACTTCTGACCCAGCTCTCTGCTAATGGCCTGGGAGAAGTAGAAGATGGACCAAGAGTTCTGGCTCCTGTACCCATGTGGGAAACCTGGATCAAACTCCTAGCTGTTCACAACCACACAAGAGAGCTCAGGTAAGAACCAGTCAACCCTCAGCACCGAGAGAAAAATGGTTGCTACTGTTTCCAGGGATAGGGAATGCAGCCTGTAGGCCATATAAGACACGCAAAATCAGTTGGCCTGGGTTAGGACTCGAAATTCAGTAAGTCTGTAGCAGGCTGACTTTTAAATTGATAATTTCACATGGTCTGCAAGTGATGTTATAAATACCTAAATGGTCCTTGGCAGAAAAAAAGGCTCCACACCCCATTTAGGGAGATCTATTATGTAGCCATAGATAACCAAAACACAAAGGTTAGAAGCAAGGCCATCAACAATCAACCCAATGTAACCTATGCCATTTCTTTTGTAGCTGATCTTTCGGCTGGTTGAGCACAAAGAACTCCAACTGCTATTGCTTTTCCTTTCTCCTAAACTCATCACCTTTTTAGAGGAGATCTCATCTATGAAAGTTCTGTATCTAGTTGAACATTTCCCACAGCAGTAGATAAAGAGAAAAGAGACCATTCATTTCCACTGATGGTAGACAGATATGACAGTGGCAGCAGGAACCAATCACCCCAGAACCCAAGACACATCCAGACCTGGAGCAGCCGTTGCGGCCATCTGGGGAGTGAACCAATGGATGGAAGACCTCTCTCTCCTGTCCCCTCTCTCCTCTCCCCTCTCCTCTCTCCCTCTGGGAAGGCAGTGGAAAATGGCCCAAGAGCTTGTGTGTGTGTGTGTCCCTTCAACTCCTGTGAGAGACCAAGAGAGTTTGAGGCTGTTGGCTTTGTCCTGGGCCAGTCCTGGCTACTGTAGTTATTTGGGGAGTGAACCAGCAGATGGAAGCTCCCCCCTCTGCCATTCTGTCTTTCAAATAAATCTTTACAAAAAAAAGGGTGCTATATTCTAAAGAAAAATGTTTGCTTCCCAAACTTCTTTCAGTTTGTAGCACTGAACAACTGTACTGCAGGAAATCAATCCTGTTAAAAACATTAGCAAGCACTGACTTTATCTAACGGGGCTGTGATAATTACTGTAACATATTTATTCTGTAGTGACTGTAGTGATTAGCAAGGGCCCACTATGTATCATGCTCCATTCTAGGAGCTCCGGCTACACAGCAAAGACAACAAACTTCTTCATGATGCAAACAGCCTTTGGCAGGTTTTTCTCCTAGACAGGGAAAAGGTAAAAACATTCTTGTGGTACAAACTAGAAATATGGATTCGCTGAATGGGAGGGATAAAGAGCTTAATCTAAAAACCATTAGTTCATGAACTTGCTGGAAGATAGCCAACAATTTTGTAAAAGGTGATAAGCACTGAAGAAAGAAAAGTAATAACTGAAACTTTAAATTAACACAGTGTTTACCTCTGAATTCCTTCAAGAATGTCCTTCACAGCTGCCATTAACTTCTGAAGATAAAGAAATGCTTCTTCCAATGATGCTACCGTTGAAGTACTCAGAGCTGAATTTGAGCCCAGCCTTTGAAACACATCCATACTAACAAAGAACAAAAGAAAAGATACTCATGGATACATATGCACATTTATTGTGGTTCAAGTGTTTCTACTGCTAATGCAGAAAATAATTTATAATTCATCTCTCATAATGGCAACATGTGAAAATTAAAGCTAGCATTCATGCATAAGATCTAGGCCAGACAGTATACAGGTGTAATCTAAAACAATGCTAAAAAAGTGTGAATGATGCTTCATTCAAAGAGACTACAAGAGATGGAAGGAAGTAGTACTAACAACCTACATTCACAGAATTCAAGAATGTAAATATGAAGATAAACATTAGGTATCAGACTAGTTATCTACTGAACCTGGAAGTTTAGTCCAGTAATTCCTCCTCTAGAAATCTATCATAAAGAATGATTATTCATAATCAGGCAAAAAAAAAAGCTAATAATACCCTAAATGTCCAACAATATACAAACTGTTTAACAGTAAATGAGCCACTTGATGAAATAGAATATTATTAAAATGATGCTCATGCTATCTGTGAAATAGAAAAACAAAGGTATAGAAAATTTACTTATGTAACACGTAAGCAATCATTTAAAATAATCAAACATGTGGTAATGGTTTTGAACTGTAACCCCCACTCCCTACCACCATCACCAAAATTCACGTTCACCCACAGCCTCAGCATGTGACCTGATCTGAAGCAGGGTCTTTGTGGATGTAATAGGTTAAGCTAACATCAAGTCACATTAAGGCAGGAATTTTGTCTAACAGTTAAGTTGCCTGTGCCCCCTGCTAGAGTGCCCGGGCTCACCACCCAACTCTAGGTCATGCCTCCAGCTTCCTGGGAGGAAGCAGGTCATGGCTCTAGTACTTGGGTCCCTGCCACTCAGGGGGCAGATGTGGAATGAGCTCCCAGCTCCTGGTCCCCACGGGCACTTAGCGAGTGAGCCAGCTCAGGGGGCAGAGGTGGAATGAGTGCCCAGCGCCCAGCTCCTGGTCCCCACGGGCACTTAGGGAGTGAGCCAGCTCAGTGGAGCTCTCCCTATCTCAGATAAAACAGAACTCTCCTTTCTAAATGAAGTCACACTGGATCAGAGTGGGACTGCCATCTGTGAAGACAGCAGCGAGAGCTAACGCCTACAGGCAAGGACTGCTGGCAACCACGGGAAAGCGGAGGAAAGGCAGGGGACACGCCACGCCCTCTGAGAACTTCAAGAAGGAATCACTAGGCAGATCCCTGGCTTTCAGATTTTAAGCCTCAAGAACAGTGAGTGAATAAATTCATGCTGTTTTAAGTCACCTGGTTTGTGGCAATTAGTTATGGCGGCACTAGGAAAGCAACACAGATGGCCCCAAACACAGCTGGATGTACCCGACATCAGCAGCGCTTACTCACTGTGCTAGCCTTCAGCGAGCACGCGAGGGGACTTCCTCCCCCGCCTCAACAGTACTCTCCAAAGTATTCTTTTGGTTAATTGTGGCAAAATACACATTCACCATTTTTACCAAAAGGTAAAAAAGGCATTTTGCTTAATTACAGTTCCCACTGCAAACTCAGAGTACATGTTAAAAACTTATCTCAGAAATTTTACTGAGAAACAGCAGGAAAGATTTTTACCTTGAAGCATTAACAGTACCTAACACAGAAAAACACACACAAAAGCTTACCTGATGAGTCGTCCATTCACAGCTGATATCAGCCAGGGGCAGGAAGGTAGCATTCAAAGCCACGCACAAGCACTCCCAGAGTGTGGCAGAGGCACTGTGCGCAGGTCCTACCACATCACTCAACGAGCCTCTCCACACGAGAGGCCCACACACAATCACAGTGAAACAGCTCCACAACGGCTCCGATACCCACCCACGCTTGAGAAACAACGAAGGAGGCTTAAATAAATAGCATGGGCCGGGCAGTCGCAGCACTTTCTCTTACTGAAGGCCGCTGTGTAAAGTCTGTTATCCAGAAACTAAAAGGGGCTCTCCAGTATGCAACACAGAAGCATGTGCACTGAAAGTCAATTCTAAAATGCATAAAGTACCCAAACCTATCTTTTGATTCCATTTTCCACACATTTTCTGAAGTATTCTCATATTTAGGTAATGTCTCCTTAAGGCCTCACGTCTGAATCATCCATAAAGATTTTTTTAAAGACACTCTAGCAGCTTCCACCTCAGTCGCACTGAGTCAATTCCTAGGAACAGAGCCTAGGCATACTGATTTTTAAAACGCGTCAGGTAATTCTGACGTGCACCCCAATTTAAGAACTACTATTTCTAAGGCACCACACTTTGACAAAAAGCCCTAAATAAGATAATCTAGTACATTAAACCAACAACCCAAACCCAACTGTTCAATGAACAGTAGCAACAGAAACCTTTGAAAAAAGCAAGCTTGTAATTCTAGAATTAAAAGTTCCTGGAAGCTTGGTACCTGTTTTGACATATTGAAATCCAGACATTCTCTAGAACAGACCAGATTTCTTGATGCCTGCTAGGCTGGAGAAGATAGGAATCCGAGCAAACAGTGCTTTCTTGGCTAGGAGACTTCACCGAACAAGTATCTTCTTGGTTTTCATTCACTGTGTGTTCTGAAGAATTTGGCTTCGATGTTGTCTTGACCTGAGGAGAGAAGATGCAGCTAGTCTTTCACAAGTAAATAAGAAAAAGGGAATATTGACTGCACTTACAAAGGTTCTAGCTATCTGGGAGTTATAGAATATTCCCAAGAAAAGCATCAGAATTAGAAAACATTTTCCTTCTCCATCAAAATAAAAAATTATACTTCCAGTCTATTTATTATAGTGACTTGATTTCTTAATATGCCAACATCAAATTACAACTTTTTACAGATGTGAGTATTTCTACAGATATTATGGGACTTAATTAGCCAGAGAACTAACAACAGTCAAGCATCCATGCACCATAAAGGGTTGCTTAAAAAAAATTAAAAAAGCTAATTTAAACCTGACATCGTGGGCAATGGTTACCACCACTGAAGGCTTCTAACTTGGGTGGGGATACTGATGCGCCTAGAATTGCTTTCTGAAGACAAACTGCAACAACAAACTACAGGCAGGAAGACTGCTCAGAAGGCGACTGAAATAATCCAGGAGTCCTGAGAACTTCAATTACATATGAAAGACAACAGAATGGAAAAAAAAAGTATGCAGGAAATATTTTAAAAGTACTTGGCCTGAAGCGCCCACATCCCATATGGGTGCCGGTTCGAGACCCAGCTGCTCCTCTTCTGATCCAGCTCTCTGCTATGGCCTGGGAAAGCAGTGGAGGATGGCCTAAGTCCATGGGTCCCTGCACCCGCGTGGGAGGCCCAGAAGAAGCTCTTGGCTCCTGGCTTTGGATCGGCACAGCTCTGGCCATTATGGCCAACTGGGTAGTGAACCAGCGGATGGAAGACCTCTCTCTGTCTCTGCCTCTCCTCTCTCTGTGTAACTCTTTCAAATAAATAAATAAATAAATCTTTAATTAAAAAAAAAAGTACTTGGCCAAGTACTATATTCAGGAAGTGAGGGAGATCTTTAGATTTTTCTTAACCTAGATACCTGGGAGAATAAAGCTACAACCACCAGAGAAATATAAACACAATTTTATTTACCAGTCAAACATAAAAACACTTGGAAGCAGCATGTCCCAGACATGTGTGATGCTATTTTATTGTGAACATTCACTTTGATTTTAAACCAGCACATTAAGGTTTTGCATTGCTGAGGGATAACAATCTTAAAACAACATAATAATATGAGATATTATATCTTAAAACAGCAATAAGTCATTTATTGTGCAATTTGTCTATGTCTCCAAACTTTATGGCCTCCTGAGGTAAAGCCAAGAAAGGCTGCTTACAGAGGAGAAAAAGGAGAACAGAGTACAAGTTGCCTTTTTTAAGTATATGCTGCCTGTGAGGTATCAAGATCACCCAGGTGAACGCAGATCTAACAGTAAGCAGACGCGCAGAGCTGAAGCCAAGCCTCGGAAGCACTGAGACTGCTGAGGGAGAAGACAGCATACGGGTAAGGCCAGAAACGTGGGGACCTGCCGGGGAAGACGGGCACAAGTGCACGATGGCAGTGGGCGCTGAGCGAGAGGGCCTCCAGGAGGGCGACAGACAACATCAATGCTAAGAGCGGGGAGAGAGGGTGGCCTCCCCGTCAGGACGGCATGGACCACCTGGGGTCTGGCCCGAGTGTGGAGACAGCACTCCCCCTTGCCGTGTGCCACCACAGACAGGGAAGGGAGGGATTAGGACAGAGCATCTTCAGGGAAACACGCTTCTGCCCTTCCCACCAGGCCCGATTTTATGCATCTTTCATACACAACAGCACAGACTTGGCCGTTTGGTATCTGAACCAGTCAAAGCAGGAGGCACTGTGGGAGGCAGACGACTGTCTGCAACAGGAACTAAGAGCTGGGAGCCCAATGCCAAAGAAGAGACCAAAGCAGAAATTGGCAGCCCACTTGCCAATTACAGAGAAAGGGAAAAATTGTCCCCATGTCCCAGTGGCTCCTGGGAGTGCTGACACTGTTCAAAATGGTGACCCTGAGTCATTAAGAAAATATTTTACTCAGTTTGAGAAGCACCATGCTTGCTAAATTATGCTCAAATGAGATTTCTAATATTAACAGCGATAATATTCACTGAGCATCTTTTAATGTACAGGAACTTTCTAAGAATTTTCTGTGTATTGGCTCACTGAATCTGCACAACCACCCTATGGAGCAGATACGTGAGTATCACAGTGTCCCCTTTCCCTCTGCTGGGGTGGAAGAAAACACAGGTGAGTCCTCCCATTTTTGTCTGTTCACATTAAGTTATGAACTTAATAAATACACATGAATGGAAAGACATTTATGCCCTGTGATAATCTGTTTTAATCACCATATACATTTTAAATATGTGTCTACTGGCTTATTTGAAAAGCAGAAACAGAGTATCCATCTCCTGGTTCACTCTCCAAATGCCCACAATGGCTGGTGGTTGGCCAGGCCAAAGTGGGGAATCAGAAACTCAATCCAGGTCTCTTAGATGGGTGGCAGGAACTCACTCTTGAGCCAACACCATTGCCTCCCAGGGTCTGCATTAGCAGGAAGCTAAAGTCAGGAGCTGGAGCTGGTATTGCAATGTGTGCTATCGGCATTGGTATTTAGTAGCAACTACCTTGCCAAATACCCACCCATCACATACACTCAAAATAAAGGCCAGGGCAGGTGTTGTGGCACAGTGGGCATCCCATAGCACAGGTGCTGGTTCACGTGCCAGCTGCTTCGTTTCCAATTCAACTTCTTGCTGATGCACCCTGAGAGGCAGCAGATGATGGCCCAGCAACGGGGTCTACAAGCCATGTGGGAGACCCAGATGGCGCTCTGGGCTCCTGGCTTCAGCCTGGCCCAGTCCTGGCTATTGTGGGCATCTGGGGAGTGAATCAGCAGATGGAAGAATCTCTCCTTCTCTCTCTCAGCTTTTCAAGTATATAAAAGTAAATATTGAAAAGTAAGTAAGTAAAATAAAGACCAGCTTTCACCTGAAGCTCTCTAACAGAAGTGTATATGACTAAACAGGCAGACACTCCCTCTGTGCTTGGCACTAAGGTCTCTACAGATATTAACCTGTCTCCTCCTCATGACGAGTTGAAGGCAGGGATCATTATCATACTAACTGTACAAGAGAGAGGATTAAGGTTCAGAAAATTGAAGTAACTAGAGTTAGAAACCCAAGTCAGGACCCTGAAGCACGCAAGTCTAAAGCTGATAAACAAGACTGTCTGCATTCTATCATGTTGGTGTGGCAAACCTACTGGGGGGCAAGGAGTGTGAATGGTTCATAAAATAAAAATGTATATATCTGCTTCCTGTTTTCACCCCACTTATGAATACAAAAGAATCTAGAAAATGATAGTGCTGGTTTACCTTTCCATGTGGTTTCTAAGGAGCCTTTCAGAAACAAGCAAATAATGAATAGTCCAGGGGCCGGTGTTGTGGTGTAATGCCAGCATCCCATATGGGCACTGGCTTGAGCCCAGCTGCTCCGCTTCTGATCCAGCTTCCTGCTGATGCACCTGGGAAAGCAGCAGAGGATGACCCAAGTCTTTGGGCCCCTGCACACACGTGGAAGGAGACAACTGGCTCCTAGCTTCAGCCTGCCCTATCCCCAGCTGTTGTGGCCATTTGGGGAGTGAACCAGCAGATGGAATCAATCAATCAATCTCCCCCTCACCTCTTTCAAATAAATAAATGAATAAAAATATGAAAAAAATGAGTAGTTCTCTTTTCCTTGTTTTCTACACTTGATAAATAATGGATTTTATAGCTACTAAATTGAGATACCCTATCTTTGAAGGTTATTTATTGCTCAAATTAATGAGACATTACTAAATATATAACACATGTATAAAATCTAATGCATTGTACCAAACTGTTGAAAGCTTTTTTGTCAAAGACCAAGCTAAATCACAATAATCCTGAGTTATTTAGACAATGAACACCACAGAAAAAACACTTCAGAGCTCCAGAGCTGGAAACAAAGCAGGCTCTTTCACACTAAGGCTTCATGCTGGGGGCAAAGAGCTAATGAGGATACTGGATTCCGTGCCACTCACATTCAAGAACCTTTTGCTAATGTAGCAACTGCAAAGTCAAGATCTAGTGATAAATAACTACGTAACAATTCAATAGTTCTAAGTATGCAGTGGGAAACCAAACAGCAGGAATACCTTTATCAGAAAAATACCACTAAATGTCAACATCACATTTTCAGGGAACCTCCATCTTTTGGTTTCCAATAGATGGAAAGAACTGAAAACTTAAATTTAACTCACTGTTAAATTTAAATATTAAAATAATTTTCAAAATTATTATATTTTGTCTCAATCAATCCTAAATTTTATTTTATTCTCAACAATCTTAAAGCAAATAAAGTTAAGCCCATAAGTATACTGGAACTCTCCATCTCATTCACTACTTCATTTAACTAAAGATACTGCACAGGACTCAACTATGGGGCGGGAATTAGGTAACATATCTCTTCCAACACAATCCTAATACAGCGCTCAAGCCCCTACTAAGGAGCTCTGTAAGTCACACTTGCCACTAAAAACAAAAACTTCCAATGTTTCGGACATCTCAAACCAAAGATCATTTCATCCCTTTGTCAATTCCTTCCTCAGGAATGATCACGTATTTTCTCTCTTCCCATGGACTCAGAGGATGCAGGATGCTAAAATATCCACTCCCCCATTTCTTTCCCTTCCTGAACAATGCCCACATGTATGTGTGTTTTCCTCACCTTTAAGTAAACTTTATCACTTTGTAAGTAAAAAAATAAAACATGAATTATGTATTTCCTGCTGCTATATAAAAAAGATACACCTTTTACTTCACAAGGTAGTCTCTTAGCAAGTAGGTTCTTTTCTCACCAACCATGATGAAGGTTAGTTAGTGTCATCGAATCCTTGGCTGACTTCATAGCTAGGAGCCCTATCTGACCACGAAAAGATCAATGAGGAAAACCTGGCCAATTCTGTGCCTTCGCGAAAAAAAGAACACGTTTTCTCTATTAAAGTCCCATAATACCTCCTCTAGTAATAGTGACACTGAGGTATTTTGAGCAGTTTCTGTCACATAAAGCTCCCAGCATTTTCTGCAACTGAAATTAGACTTTACAAATAAAGTATTACTGGGGACAAAATTCACATGTCAGTTTAGAAAGGGTAAAAAGGAAACAGTGTTAGGATGATGTTTCACATGGGGAAACATGTTTAACAAACAGGTCAAATGGTTACATCTGGGGGAGGCACTGTGGTGCAGTGGGCTAAGCCACCGCTTAGACGCTGGCATCCCGGACTGGAGCGCTAGGAGTCCCTGCGGCTTCACTCCAACGCAGCCTCCTGCTAATGTGCCTTGGAGCTCCTGGCTTCAGCCTGGCGCCCACACTTGGCTGTGGTGGCCATTTAGGGACTGAACCAGCAGATGGAAGATGCCTGCTCTCCTTTTCTCTGTCAGTCTTTCATTTAAATACACGTTTTTTAAAATGGTGAAGCTTAGGAGCTGGTGTTGTGGTGCAGAGGTTGAAGCTGCCTCCAGTGATGCCAGCATCCCATACGGGTGCCAGTTTGTGTCCCGGCTGCTCCACGTCTGATCCAGCTCCTTAATAACGGCCTAGGAAAACAGTGGGAGACGGATCAAGTGTTTGGGCCCTTCCACCCACATGGAAGACACGAATGCAACTCCAGGCTCCTGGCTTCAGTTTGACTCAGCCTTAGCCATCGCAGCTACCTGGAGAGTGAACCAGTGGATGGAAGATACCCTCCTCTCACCCCCACTTTCTGTAACTCTTTCAAATAAATAAATATTTTTAATAACTAAATACATGGCAAAGCTTAAATCAGGTTTACAGATGAGATACTTGTATCACTTCATGTTAATGTCCTGATTAACAGTACTGTAGTTCTAAATGATTTTTTTATGGAAATATTTGGGAATAAAAGGAGTATTGTATCAGTGATTTACTCTCAAATAGCTTAAGAAAACACTATGGATAAACAGGTAAACAGGTGGAAAGATAATAAAACAAATATAAAAAAATTTGAGGACTCAGTAAAGGTTATACACGTACATAAAAATTCTTTGTGTTCTTGCAACTTTTTCATAAAGTTTAAAGTCATTTTTTTAAAGATTTATTTATTTGAAAAGCAGAGTTAGAGGGAGAGAAAGTGACAGTGACAGTGACAGTGACAGGGACAGAGAGATCTTCCATCTGCTGGTTCACTCCTCAAGTGGCTGCAATACCTAGAAGCCTGGAACTCCAGCCAGGTCTCCCACGTGGGTAGCAGGGCCAGGTAATTGAACCATCTTCCACTGCTTTTCCAGGTGCATTAGCAGGGGGCTGGATCAGAAGTGGAGTAGCTGGGACTTGAACAGGAGCCCATTATGGGTAATCCACTATACCACAACACCAGCCCCAAGTTTGAAGATACCTTAAAATAAAAAAATCAAACAAGAACAACATTACTGGGCAACACTGCCTAAAAAATTTGATTCAACAAGGCTTTAGACAGCTTGGCATCTGCATGTTTAAAAAACAAATTCTAAGTGGTTTTGTTGGATGTGAGGCCCACTGGCCTAGCTAGGGTACGAGAACAACACATAGCCTTCTATACCTAAATGAAATAATATAAAATCCAGCAACTGTTGTGACCCTACTTCCATAAAGGGATGTGTGTGTGTGTGTGTGTGTGTGTGTGTTTTAAAGACTGATTTATTTATTTGAAAGGCAGAAGTTACAGAAAGAGAGAGCGAGCAATCCTCCATCCACTGATTCACTCACCTCCCAAATCACAACAGCCGGGGCTGGGCCAGTCAGAAGCTGGGAGCCAGGAGCTTCTTCTGGGTCTCCCAAGTGGGTGCAGGGGCCCAAGGACTTAGCCCATCTTCCGCTGCTTTCCCAGACCAATAGCAGGGAGCTTAATCAGAAGTGGAACAGCTGGAACTCAAACTCACACCCATATGGGATGCCAGAGTCGCAGGTGGCAGCTTTATCCACTGCACCACGACACCAGCCCTGGGGTGTGTGTTTCATAACTCGGGATAAGAGCTGCTTATTTTCCATTTAATTCACTAAGCATTTGCTGAGTGCTTTCAGTGTGTTAGAACAAGCTAGAATCAGACTATCCTTGACCTGACGTGTCCGCTGACTACACTTTAGGACGCGATTAGCTTGTCTAAGAGACATTCCGAAGGTATCTTACCTCTGCAAATGTCTGGAGCAGCTTGTCCACTTCAGCAAAGGCCCGTGGAAGAACACCATCGTAATCTGACCTTGTACTAAAAGCATGTAACAAACTCTTAGAATCCTGAAGCAGGAACTTCACTGTTGTAAAATCCACTGTGTTATTATTAGCTGGTAACAGGAAATTAGGAAGAAAAATAAGAATGAGCATACAACATGAGCATGTCTTTAGAACACTAATTAATTGAAATGTACAAACAGTACACATATAAACATACATGCCACTCCTAATTTTTCCCTCTGGAGTCAAAAACAACAATTAAACAGACTTAAATTACAACTAAACCCTTAAAGACAAAGTCCTTCCAACTGATCCTGGTATTCTGTTTTCTGGTCTCAGAAGTTCCCACAAAATGGTCAACTTCAAAAGTAACTTTTTTGCTTTCAACTTTAAAAGCAAATTAAATAATACTTTTCAGAAAAGATAACTTTCAAAGTTGAGGGTGTTTCACATGCAGATTACTATGGAGGCGTCAGGTTAGTCACATATCAGTGGCAATCATATATGTGGTACATCACATAATCAGTGCAGGCATCATGTAATGATTTGCCTTCAATTCCATTAAAAATATTAGATTTATTGGAAATGTGTGATCTTTTTGTACAAAACTTGAGCCACAAATAAACAATGACCACAGTGAAAAGACAAGCTAGCAGATGTTCTTATAAATCATAGAACATCTAGAAATAAGAAATAAAGAGTATCAAATTATATTGATCCTATTATACTCTGAAACATCAGCAAGGTCTCTCACTGGCACTATACTCGTTAGAAAAAATTAAGAGTCCCTCCGTATCACTTACACAGGAATTTGCTTGTGAAATCCTGAAGGGTGAAATGAAATTCAAAAGATTAATTGTAGTAACAATTTAGTAATTGAATCCGCGATATTCAGGGACTCTAATGGGATCATCACAGCAGCCAAGCCTAGCAGCGTAATTCCTTACAGGAACGCTTTCAGCTCATCTCGAAGCCAAGACTAGGCTAAACGCCTGTGGGGAGAAGGCAGCTGGGGGATCCACAGAGGTCACGGACCCCAAGAGCATGTGGAGTGTCCACGCAACATGTAACTGGACACAGCTTCTTCTAAGGGCACCCTCTGGGTAAGAGGGCTTATATCCCTGAATTAATCATCTGGTCTCCATCACAAAAATTAACTTAAGATTAGCAGAAAAAGGGAAATGACAATGATAAACTCAGATACAGGCACAACAAGAAAAGAAATCTACATTTATACAATAGCTTCCTGCTCAATTAAGGCCAATAAATAAAGTTAATATATATAACAAAAATCACAAAAAGTTATTAGTAATTTTCTACACAATTGTCTGTGAATAAGGATATGTGTTTGGTATACTGAAATCAAACACAGAGCTGAGGATTTTACACTAGATAATGAACAGAGAGTGGGCATTCAGTCTAGCTGTTTAGACATCAGCATTCTACAATGCATCCCATATCAGAGTACTCGGGTTCGATACCCAGCCCCAGCTCCTGACTTCAGCCTCCTGCCAATGCAGACCCTGAGAGGCAAAATTGACGCCACAAGTAATTGGGTTGCCACCCACATGGGGAACCTGAATTGCGGTCCCAGCTTCAGCCCTGGCCCAGACCTGGTCACTGCAGACATCTGGGGAGTGAACCAGCTGATGAGAGCTCTCTACAGCCCTCTTTTTCCCTCTCTCTGCCTCTTAAATAAATAAAATTTTAAAAAATTATTTTAGAGGTGGAAATACTGTTATAAGCCCATTACATACTCTTAGGAAGTAACTAAACATTACCTATCAGGTTCTTCTAGATCAAGGACCAAAAAATTATGCACAAAATGATGGCAAACTTTCAGCAGAAGGCACATTTTCACCTTTATCCCTCTCGCCTGTCAGAGCAAAACACTACCTACCTCTGAAAAAACAAATGAAACATGGGAACTGGACATCCCATTTCTAAACATAACCTTGTTCAAGATTACACACAGTTAAAAGAATAAACTAAATTATGCTCCGAGAAGACAGGGAAATATTTCCACAAGTTGTGTACAACAGCCTTGAGGACATGCCCAGTGTGCTGTTTGCTGTCTGTTACATAACAACACCCGTAACAAATAACTTCTATGGTTAAAGGCACTGACAGGTAAATCTTTAAAAAAACACTAACTTTCAGGGCTGGCACTGTGGCGCAGCGGGTTAACGCCCTGGCTTGAAGCACCGGCATCCCATGTGGACTCCTGCTGGAGACCTAGCTGCTCCACTTCTGATCCAGCTCTCTGCTATGGCCTGGAGAGCAGTGGATGATGGCCCAAGTCATTGGGCCCCTGCACCCACGTGGGAGACCTGGAAGAAGCTCCTGGCTCCTGGCTTTGGATCCGTGCAGCACCAGCCATTGAAGGCAATTGGGGAGTGAACCATCAGACGGAAGACCTCTCTCTCTCTCTGCCTCTCCTCTCTCTGTGTAACTCTGACTTTCAAATAAATAAATAAATCTTTAAAAAAAATAACTTTTAAAAATAGCTATTCATCAAACAGCTACCATGGATAAGACATCAGAGACCGACCAGGAGCTCAGCATCCTCTAGAGGGCACTTCTAAAGCTATGAACAATCTTTGGAGCTAAAATGTCACAAAAGAGAATGAGGTACATCTACCACAGGGCATGCTCCCATCACCCTCCCTAAACTTTTATTTATTTGGTTTACTTGGAAGGCAGAGAAATATTCACTCCCCAAACGCCTACAACAGCCAGCACTAGGCCAGGCCAGAGCTAGGAACAGAACTCACTCTGGGTGGGTTGCAGGGACTCAAGCAGTTGAGCCATCATGTGCTATCTCCCTGGGTATGCATCAGCAGGAAGCTGGATCAGAGGCAGAGTGGCCCAGGCACAAACCAGGTCCTCCAATATGGGAGGTGGGCATCCAAAGCAGCAACTTCAATGCTGTGCCAAACGTCTGCCCAAGCAGAGAATCTTTCTTTTTCAAATCCTACATGGACTATACATATATCAACAGATGTTTTTAAAAAGTTGCTCTGTGAAAGTTAGGGTCAAGGCACCACCTACTAAGCTCTCCACTAACCTTTCCACACCCCTCCTGTGCACACAGTACTTTAGGAAACCTAAGGTTCAGTTCGGCGTGGTCAACAATCCACCGAGTGGTTCGCTATTATCTCGTCAAGTTCTAAATTCCACTATGCACCAAAGCCAACGGTTTCCTTTTCCTTGTCCAAATTTAATTTAGAGAGAACGCTTGATACATAATTTTAAAAATTAGTACATAAAATACACTCAAAGTTTGTGTGTTATACACAGTGAGAAATGAAAACTATATAATTTTATTTGCAAACCCAAACAGACTATAAAATATGGTCTTAGGGAGCCAGTACTGTGACGTAGCAGGTAAAGCTGCCACCTGCAGTGCCAGCTTCCCATATGGGCGCCAGTTCAAGACCTGGCTGCTCCGCTTCCAATCCAGCTCCCTGCTGTGGCCTAGGAAAGCAGAAGATGGCCCAAGTCCTTAGGTCCTTGCACCCGTGTGGGAGACCTGTGTGGGAAGAAGCTCCTGGCTGTGGCTTTGGATTGGCCCAGCTCCAGCCATGGCAGAGTGAGCCAGTGTATGGAGGATAACTCTCTCTGCCTCTCTCCAGCTCTGCCTTTCAAATAAATAAATAAATCTTAAAAAAAAAAAAAAAAAAGAAGTTAGAATCATACAACCTTACTCTTAAAAAAAAAACCACAGTTTTGAGTTTTCAAAGTTGACACTGAAAACGATCTATTCACAATACTAGGCACATCAACAACAGCACCATTCACAGTCACAGCTCCATGAGCAGCATTCAGACGCACAGTCTTACTTCAGGAATCAGAGTAGGGATGATTAACCACTAACTGACAATGCTTTCCTCATTCATCTCCACATCCTATGGAATATATCTGCTAGTCCGACTTAATTCTTTAACGCAATGCTGCTAAGAAAAAAATAAAAGATCCATACCTTTACAGAGATTTTCGTATACGCTCTCAATAGTTAAAAGCAAATTCTTTTCCATAATTAATCCAAATACAGCCAACCAATGTTTTTTAAAGCATCGCAATAAATGTATTAGCGTCCACGGCGGTTTCACGTACAGTATCTAGAGAGTTTTCAGAAAAAATTAGCATCTGTGGATTTATTCTTGCTATTATTTAAAAGTATTTAGGAGCAGGCATTCAGAGCAGCAGGTAAGAAGTCACTTGGGACGGCCATACCCCAAGTCAGACTGCTTGGGTTTGTGTCCCAATTCTGCTCCTATTCCAACTTCAGATGTACACACTGGGAGGCAGCAGGAGGCTCAAGGAGTTGGGTCCCAGCCACCCACTGAAAGACCCACACAGAGGTCCCAGCCCACACCTTCAGCCTGGCCCAACCCTGGCTGCTGCACGCATCTGGAGAGTAGCAGTGAACAGAAGATCTGTCTCTGTCTCTCGCTCTTTCTTCTTTTCAATTAAAAGAAGATAAATAAAATTCAAAGTACCTATTTAGGAATTCCTACATATATTAATGTGAAAGGTAGTTAAAATTCTTTTAAAAGATCTTTTATTAAAAGCCAATTATAATTTTAGATACTAATTCCACTGCATATTGCTTTTATGAAAGTTGTATAGCATTAAACTTTACAGTTTTCAAATTACACATACAAAAATAAAGATCAGAAAGGAAAAAAATTTTTTTAAAGATTTTATTTATTTACTTGAGAGGTGGAGTTACAGAGAGAGGGAGAGACGAAGAGAAAGGTCTTCCATCCGCCGGTTCACTCCCCAAATGGCCACAGTGGCCAAAGCTGGGCCAGTCTGGAGCCAGGAGCCAGGAGCCTCTTCTGGGTCTCCCATGTGGAGGGAGCCTAAGCACTTAGGCCATCTTCCACTGCTTCCAGGCCATAAGCAGAGAGCTAGATCAGAAGAGGAACAGACGGGACCTGAACTGGCGCCCTTATGAGACACCAGTACCATAGGCAGAAGCTTAGCCTACTATGCCACAGAGCCAGCGCAGGAAAAAGTTTTAATCAGCAAAGTTTTTCAATCCACTTTTTAACCTGGTAATCTCTATGACAAAATCAATCTAATTATTTTAAATAACTGGGGAAAATCTATCTAGAAAAAAATTGTCAAATATAACTGCTTCAATCTTACAAAGCTATGTTTATAAAGATCTACAAAGAAAAATAAAAAATAAGCCATGTTTATAAAGAAAATTGATCATTTAGTTCTATTAATACTATTTTAATTATTTGTCTTTCTCCTATAAATATTCAATTTAAATCAATTCTCACAGTATCTTCTGATCATTCTTCATCATCTTGGTTGAACACTCCAAAAATGTAACCAAGGGGCTGATGCTGTGGTGCAGGGGGTTCAACTGCTGCCTGCGATGCCAGCATCCCTACTGGAGTACTGGTTCCAGTCTCAGCTGCCTGGCTTTCAACTGAGCTCTCTGCTATTGCACCTGGGAAAGCAGCAAAAGATGGCCCCTGCCATCCACGTAGGAGACCCCGATGGAGTTCCAGGCCCAGGCTTTGGCCTGGCCCAGCCATTTGGGGAGTGAACTAATGAATAGAAGATCTTTTTCTCTGCATCACTGCACCTCTGTTACTCTGGCTTTCAAATAAGTAATAAAAAAATATACATATCATCCACAAAATCTAAAAATATGTATATGTAATCAAGCAGCAAACTCACTGTATTAGCAAATGTTAGAATCTCACTAAAGAGCTGGGATGGACAGAAGCTAACTGATGGAGCAAAACGTTTCTCCTAACTATAAACATGAACAGCAAGCAAACACTAAACAGAACTTTTAGGACCACTTTTGCTAAAGTTGACTGCAGAAAATACACACATCTAAAGAAAATTCAAAATATGTTGTTAATATGATCAAATTACGCTGGTTCTCACAGTTACGGGCACAAACCAAAATACACACTTCTTGAATCCACAGATGAATACATTTAGCTTGGGGAAATTTCTTATATTAGACATTTTGACAGTACTCAAACTAAACAGGAGCAACTTTTCTGAATTCCATTCAAGCTCCATGGTAAAAGCATTGTCCTGCCCATTAAGAAATATCTATCATCTACCTAAAAGTTTGTTCAGAACCTTGAAGAAAAAGTTTAATGTGATACATATTACAATGTTTATGTTCTTAAACAATTATTTAAGATAACAAAATCAATGAAGAAGAAATTTTCAACTAAGAGTTGAACTAATCACCTCCATCCAGAGGTTTCCAAAAGCGATTTTCATCTCTGTTTCTAATATTGAAGACAAAGCCGTTCCAAGAGACTTTTCAAGATCAGATATGATGCTCTCCAGCAGAATGGACAGTCCAGAATTCGCGGCTTCTTCCTCATGGCTCCCTTCCAACAGTGCTGCTTCTTTAAAACAAATCGGTAACAGGCTTTGTTAGGGCTCTAAAAGTAAATGTTATACATATATAATAAGTATTTGGCCATATATATAAATGTGTTATATATAATTAATCTTCGAATTACTTAGAAGAGAGAGGTAGTTTATTTTTAAAATAGTCTCTACTATAGTGGTTTTAGACCTCATATAATCAGGGCAGAGGCCCGGTACAGCAGTTAAGATACCACTGGGTGCCTGCATCCCATACTGGCATGCCTGGGCTCAAGTCCTGACTCCACTCCCAATTTCAGCTTCCTCCTAGTGTATACCTTGGGAGTTTGGTCTCTGCCACCCACAAGGGAGACTTGGAAGGAATTCTCATCTCCCAGCATTGGCTACAGCCCAGCCCCAGCTATTGTGGGCCTTTGGAGAGTGAACCAGTAGATGGTAGCTCTCAAAAAAAAAAAAAAAAAAAAAAAAAAATCCAAATAAATAAAATGACACTAACGTAAAGGGCAAACTAAAAATATGCTACCCCTGAAAAAACTGTAAACCATAATATTCTATTACTCCTTTCCAATGTCATTGTGCATTTTATAATAAACAACATGCTATTTCCAAAAAGCGCCAATAAGCAGTATGTATGTACATATCAGTATTTATAGAAGTACAAAGAAAAAGTAAATACGTATTAGAGACTTCAATAACTATTTTCCCCATGGAATGAAAAGATGGGATATCCTTATAAATGATGTCAGACTTAATATACTATTCCATCAAACATCAAGCTACTGAAAAGACTATTCTGCTGGAAAATGAGATAACAGTATTGCCTTTTAATTATCTGTATAAAATTTAAAAGAGGAAAATCATTCCTAATGTTCTGTTTCTCCATTAACTGAATTTTTACTATATTGAAAGAAGTGGCTGGCACCGCGGCCCAATAGGCTAATCCTCCGCCTGCAGCGCCAGCACACCGGGTTCTAGTCCTGGTCGGGATGCCGGATTCTGTCCCAGTTGCCCCTCTTCCAGGCCAGCTCTCTGCTATGGCCCAGGAGTGCAGTGGAGGATGGCCCAACTCCTTGGGCCCTGCACCTGGCTCCTGGCTTCGGTGGCCATTGGAGGGTGAACCAACGGCAAAAGGAAGACCTTTCTCTCTGTCCCTCTCTCTCACTGTCTACTCTGCCTGTCAAAAAAAAAAAAAAGAAGCTATGAAGCTAATTTTCAAAAAAGACTAAAATATTCTTTCTACTTCAAATGTATATCTCCTATAGTTAATACTACTTTAAAAGGTGTTCTCTACAAAGCACAAAATAGCATGCACACAGCGATTACGAATATGGAAAAATGTGTACGAAATACTAATAAACGAATAAATCCCTAATGTTACAAAACACAGTGGAGAGCCTTTGGCTTACAACAAGCCAGTCTGTACTGCATGAACAAACAGGAAAGAAGCGTGACGTCTTCAATCATGAAGACTCTCAAAGCAGCAGCAATGCTGATCACCTTGATTGGATCAGTACAGACTGCACACATGCACCAATATGTCACACTGTAGCCCGTAAATTCATACATCATAAATAGTGAAAAGTTAAATTCATAAAAGAACACATAGAAGGCAATATTATTCATTAGATTTTCTTTTGGATTATCATTTTCATTTAATTCTAAAATTTACGTGCTGGAAAATACTCCCAACATGATTTTTTTTTAATTTATAAGATTGAAATTTATTAATTACAGATGCCATCAACAATCTTAATGCATAAAATGAGGTATATTTCTAATTATTCACAGTAAGAATACTACCTGCTTTCAACTGTTGCTTAGAAACACAAGGCTGATGACACACATCTGTGTTCTGAGACAAGTTCAATAACTCTGCACTCAATTCTTCTTTACTGAGTGACTTCACACCACTTATTAGGCCTTTGTTTCTTAAATTTCTATCATCCCTAAGATGGGGGTTAGGAGGAAAAAATATTTTTTTATAAGATAAACCAAATGGCAACTCAAAAACACGGGATCTGGTCCAGCGTTGGTGACTATTGGCATACGACAAAGGATCACATTTTTTAAAAATATGAAGATAAAGGACTGTATGTAAAGTCACATTTCATGAGCTTTAGGTTACAATAATAATAATAATTTATCTGCTGAGTGTTTCCCTGGTCTCAAGCGCCTTGCTAAGTTCTTGGTTAGTCTTCACAATCCGTCTCTGAGATAGGAGTGGTACTCATTTCACAGATAGGAAACTGAGGGGTACAGAGGGTACATGACTTACCTAAATTATAATAACCCAAAGAGAAATAAACAGAGTCCTAAAACAAGCAATAACTTACACAGAACAATTACCAACATACTCAGAGTGTGCAGAAACCAAGTAATATGAATTTGTATTTGCTCAAAGAGCAAGACAGTCCATGAGGCCAGGTAATGGGGTCACAGAGAAAGACAAAAGCATTAGTAAATGGGAAAACACTTAATGACGTCAATGGGGAAGTGGTCTGACCAGATCTGCATTTATTAAATTGTTCTGGAGCCCAGCCGACTTCCAGCTTCTGCTAGGGGCAGAGTTGCTTGGTCAGACTAACCTTCCTACAGATGAGAATTTATAAAATCTGAACAAAAAAGGAAATTAATTATTTGAAGGTATTAGTGAGCATTAAATTGGAAACAGAACTAGTGAGAGGGGAGTCTGCAAGACATAGAAATTGCACTTGTGAGAGCTACAAGTTTCTATCTTTTGGCCTGAAGGCATTTCCCAATTCATCAATGGCTTAGGAACACAGAACCATGGTCTCAGTGGCTTGAAATGTAGAGAACTGTGTTTAAGAATGACCTGAGGGAAACTGAAGGGAAGAACTCAGAGCAAGTAAGCCCCAAAATCTCCACATAAATTCTGACCAGCAGAAACATCACACTGCTATGAGAAAGCAATCAACACAATCAGACTCGGATGCAGCACAGACGCTGAAGCTGCAGAGAATTTAAAATAATTTTGATTAACAAGTTAAAGGCTCTAATGGAAAAAGTCAATAGAATGAAAAGGCAGATCGTTTCAGCAGACATGAAAACCCTAAGAATGAAGTAGACATGCTAGCAACAGAAAAACAGCAACAGAAGTGAAGAATGCTTCTGATAGGCTTGTCCAAAGGCTCATCAAAGAGGAGGGGAAAAGAGATGAGAAAACAATCAACAAAATTGAAGACAGGTCAAAAGAAACCACTCGGGGCTGGCGCTTTGGCACAGCGGGTAAATCCGCCACCTGCAATATGACATCCCATGTGGGCTCTGGTTTGAGTCCCAGCTGCTCTGCTTCTGATCCAGCTCCTTGCTAATGCACCTGGGAAAGCAGTGGAGTATGACCTAAGTCCTTGAGCCCCTGCACCTGCGTTGGAGACCCAGACAATCCTGGCTCCTGGTTTCAGATCAGCTCAGCTCCAGCTACAGCAGCCATCTGGGGAGTGAACCAGTGGATGGAAGACCTCTCTCTTTCTTTCACTGTCACTCTCTCACTCTCTTTCTGTCTCTACCTCTGTCTGTAACTCTTTCAAAATAAATAAAATAAATCTTTAAAAGAAAAAAAAGACTAGATCTCTTTAAAAAATATCACTTAAACTGAAACGAGAGAATGAATGTTTTTTTTAAAATACATCCCAGAGCTGTGGAACTATATATATATATATGTATATATATACACACACACACATATACTGTTGTATGAGCCTTATTCAGCATTGTCAAGCAGTATATTATTTGAAGGCAGACCAATACCAAGTAAAAAATGAGTATTTTAAACGCCAGGGCAACCCCAAGAAATTTTTTCAAAAAGGTATAAATAATCAATAATGGAGATGAAACACTGTAGAACAGAAGTAGCCAATAATGGAGATAACACTGTAGAACAGAAGTAACAAGCAGAAAGTGACTAGAAAAATGGCAGCTGTCAATCCAGCCGATTAGGTGAGTGTGGTCTACATTCGCCAATGAAAAGACAGAAATGATTAGACTGCACAAAGAGAACTAACTATATGTTATCTGCAAAACTTAAATATTAAGACATAGATTAAAAGCAAAAGGATGAAAAACAATATACCACATAAGTACTAAACAAATGAAAGCTGGAATAGTTACATCAATACTTGACAAAGGAGACTTCAGAACCTGGAATATCACCAGGAACAAATAAGGTCATGCTATCGTTTGAATATGATTTGGTCCCAAACTCATGCATTTAATCCCCAAAGTCATAAATTAATGGTACAAAGAGGGTAGAAACCTAATCCAATTATGGGGTTTAGGAGGTGAGGTGCAGTAGGAGGTCCCTACTTCACAGTGGATGTGTTTTTATAAAAGCCTGAATTGGGCCCAGACATTTCACTGTTTCCTTGCCCATCATGTGACCCTAAGCCTCCACACATCAGATGCCAGACCATTGCACCTGCTTGATCTCAGACTGTGAACCCAGGGAACCTGGAGCCAAAATAAATCTTCTTCCTTTATAAAACTAGGGTACCACAAATATTTAATAATACAGACAAAAAGCTGACCAGTAAAGAACATTATACAATGATAAAGGGGGTCAATTCTACAAGAAGACATTTTTTTTTTTAAAGATTTGTTTTATTTATTTGAAAGAGTTAGAGAGGTAGAGACAGAGAGGTCTTCCATCCGCTGGTTCACTCCCCAACTGGCCACAATGGCCGGAGCTGTGCTGATCAGAAGCCAGGAGCCAGGAGCTTCTTCCAGGTCTCCCATGCAGGTGCAGGGGCCTAAGGACTTGGGCCATCTTCTACTGCTTTCCCAGGCCATAGCAGAGAGCTGGATCGGAAGAGGAGCAGCCAGGACTAGAACCGGCACCCAAATGGGATGCCGGCGCTTCAGATCAGGACTTTAACCTGCTGCGGTACAGTGCTGGCCCCCAAGAAGACATCCTAAACAATCCTAAGTGTGTATGCACCTCACTACAAGTTTCTATTTTTTGCCTCAAAGCATTCCCACGATTCATCAACATCCTACAACAGAAAAATCACAGCCTAGTGACTGTCATAATACATGAAACATGACAAACTGGAAGGAGAAAAGAAAAAATTGCTTACAGTTGAGATCTCTCTCAGTGATCACAACATATAAGACCTAAAGAACACTATCAACCAGCTTCACACACCCAAATTAATAGACTACTCTATCCACAGAAGCACATAAAACACCCACCAATAGAGATCAAAATCTTGACCACAAAAGTAATGTGGTCAAATGTAAAAGAACAGAAATCATAAAAATTGTGTCCAAAGCCATAATGAAATGAAGTTACAACTCAGTAATAGAAAGATATATGGAAATTTTGCAAATATTTGGAATTAAGAAACATTTAAATAACCTGTGATCAAAAAAAAATCACAGTGGAAATTATAAAGAATACAGAGTCAAATAAAAAAATTACAAAATTTGAGGAACCAACTATACTAGTACTTAAGAAGGAAATTTATAGCAGTCTCAATTATCAACCTTCTATCTGAAAAAAGAAGAAAAAAGCACATGGGGCACAGGGTACTCGCAGGAATAACTAAGGTGTCCCATATTTGGACAGGCTTGTGGCTGCACTGTGTCCTGTATATTGTACATGAAGATTTGTGCATTCCAGTGTTAAGTATGTTTTTCTACAACATTTTTAAAAAATGTATGAATCATGTGGGCTGGGATGTGTACAGAAGTAAAGACAACAGAAGAATGGCAGTCTTGATTGCTGCTGCAGCTGGGAATTTAGGAGTTTATGAACTCTTCTTCAGTTTGAACACTAAAGAAATTTTCCAAAATGAGAAGTTTTTTGAAAATTACAACACCTTTTTAAGTTCTTAAAGAATGGAGGGGTTGGCCGGCACCACGACTCAATAGACTAATCCTCTGCCTGTGGTGCCGGCACCCCGGGTTCTAGTTCCAGTCAGGGCACCGGATTCTGTCCCAGTTGCTCCTCTTCCAGTCCAGCTCTCTGCTGTGGCCAGGGAGTGCAGTGGAGGCTGGCCCAAGTGCTTGGGCCCTGCACCCCATGGGAGACCAGGATAAGTACCTGGCTCCTGGCTTCAGACTGGCGCAGCGCACCGGCCATAGCAGCCATTTTGGGGGTGAACCAACAGAAGGAAGACCTTTCTCTCTGTTTCTCTTTCATTAACTCTGCCTGTCAAAAAAAAAAAAAAAAGGAGGGGCTGGCACTGTGGCATAGCAGGTAAAGCCACCACCTGCAGTGCCAATAGCCTATATGGGAGCCAGTTCAAGAGCCGGCTGCTCCACTTCCAATCCAGCTCTCTGCTATGGCCTGGGAAAGCAGTGGAAGATGGCCCAGGTGTTTGAGCCTTGCACTCATGTGGGAAACCTGGAGGAAGCTCCTTGCTTCTGGCTTCAGACTGGCTCAGCTTCAGCTGTTGCAGCCATTTGGAGAGTGGACCAGTGGATGGAAGACCTCTCTCTGCCTCTGCCTCTCTCTACCCCTGCCTTTCAAATAAATAAATCTTTTATAAAAGAAAAAGAATAAATGGAGAAGAGCAAATATGAAAACAGAGTGCTTAATTAGTCTTAGAATAGAAAAAGGAAAACAACACAGCCTGACATGGGTAGTGTCGGGGGGTAAGGAAGACCTGACCCCGAGCACTGAACAACGGACTGCAGAGTGCGGACGGAGAGATGGGCATGGAAATGACCACCAGTGTCCGGCTGCAGTGAACTGGAGGGAGATGGTATTTTTCCCTGAGGTGAAGAACAAGGATCAAGATTTCACTTTGGAGAAGACAGGCTTCAGATTTCGACCAGACGTCCAAGGAGAGACATCGAATGAGTGTGGGATATAGTAGTTCAGAGTTTAGAAAAGGGGCCAACATTGTGGCACTGAGGGTTAAAGCTCTGGCTTGCAAGACCAGCATCCCATAGCAGCGCCAGTTCGAGTCCCGGCTGCCCCACTTCCAATCCAGCTCCCTGCTAGAGTGCCTGGGAAAGCAGCAGAGGAAGGCCCAAGTGCTTGGGCCCCTGCACCCGTGGAAGACCCAGAAGAAGCTCCTGGCTCCTAGCTTCACATCAGCTCAGCTCCACCCATTGTAGCCATCTGGGGAGTGAACCAGTGGATCGAAGACCTCTGTCTACCTCTCTCTGTAACTCTGTCTTTCAAAATAAATAAAATAAAACTTAAGAAAAAGTAATATGAGGGGCCAGTATTGTGGTACAGGGGGCTAACCCACAAAGGCAATCCCACATGAGCACCAGCTAGCAAGCTGGATGCTCCACTTCTGATCAATTCCCTGCTAATGCACCTGAGTGCAGCAGACGATGGCCCAAACCCCGTGCCACCCCTGTGGGAGACCTGGATGGAGTTCCAGGCTCCTGGTTTCTGCTTGGCCCAGCCCTGGCCATGTGGCCAAGTGGGGCGTGAACCAGTGGATGGAAGACTACTTCCTCTCTGTCACTCTTTCTCTGTAACTATGCCTTACAAATAAATACATAAAGGAAGAAAGGGAGGGAGGGAGGGAGGAAGGGAACGGAAAGAAAGAGGGAGGGAAAGGAACTAACACGAACTGGAGATAGCCATGCTCGCCCAGCTGTGGGACTGTACATGTAAGGAGACCACTCAAAATGATGCACGGCATATAATGTAGCAGAAGTTTTCCATCTTACTGTCATTATCAACCAATATTACTGACATCAAGATCCTCCATTTAAGTAATATAAACATTTTCATGCAATAATAGGTATGGCTTACACACTATACATAATCACCACCATTTATGGGGGGGGGGGGGCAGACGGACCGAAAAAGAACAGGCTCGGGGCTGGCACTGTAGCACAGCGGGTAAAGCTGCCACCTGCAGCACTGGCATCCCATACGGACACTGGTTCAAGTCCCGGCTGCTCCATTTCTGATCCAGCTCCCTGCTAACGCACCTAGGAAAGCGGTGAAAAATGGCCCAAGTCCTTGGGACCTTGCACCCACATGGGAGACCCAGATGAACTTCCTGGCTCCTGGCTTCAGCCTGGCCCAGCTCCAGCTGCTGCAGCCATTCAGGGAGTGAACCAGCAGATGGAAGAGCGCTCTCTCGCTCTGTGTCTGCCTCTCCCTCTCCCTATCTGTAACACTGACTTTCAAATAAAATAAACCTTCAAAAAAAAACCAGAAAGCAAAAACACAGGCTCAATACCTGGACCATGAAATCACTACAAATTTTCATTACACTGAAAAAAAAAAAAAAAAAGTCATACCTATTAATCCCAAGAAAGTACATACACGATGGAGAACCGAGAAAATCTCATTCTGAACTGAACTACAACAGTAACTAACGATGGGAGGAGCGTCTGGTCTGGTGCTGAAGGCGCCAGCGGGATGAGTACCTCCCACAGCAAAGGCTGGATTCACATCTGAGTGTGATCACAAACTGCAAAAACTCCAATTTGTAATGAACAGAAAGATTTCAAACTAAAGTTTTTCTTCTATTTCTTCAGACCCTTTCCTTACACACGATGGAATTCAATTCTGTTTAGCATTGCATTAGTTTTTATGTTATGAAAACGTTAGTGGGGAAGGAAGGAGGAAGAAGGAATGAGGAGGGAAACCCCGAGGAATCTCTGAGTAGGACCCTGGTCGAAGTCCTTTGTAGGTGTTATCTAATCAAACCCACACGCCAAGTAAGGGATGAAGACCCTCTCTCTCATTACACACAAGGAAACTAAGCTAAGCAACCGCCAAGCTGACGTGAATGCAAGACTCCAGCCCACAGTACCCAGAACCCAACTGCAATATAAATTACCCCCACCCCCACAAGGAACCGCAGGTCTACAAAATTCTGTAAGACTGTGATTTATGAACTGTTTGGGGTGCATCTGTCTTTCCCTGCCTTTTCCAAAGTTTTCTGGATAGCATACGAACTTAATTAAAAGGTACTTTATTATTTGAGCTCTCATTCATTTAGGGCTCACATTATAACATCAGATATAATGAGCGTGCTTCCTAGCAGATTCATAAAATTAGGTTCTGATTCTTAGTACGGTAGAGACAGTATGATTTAAAAAATATTTGGTGGGACTTATTACTCAAAACAAAGACTGGGGCTAGTGTCGTGGTGCAGCAGGTAAAGCTGCTGGTGTCCCTTATGGATGCCACTTCATGTCCTGGTCCTCCATGAGCTCCCTGCTAATGGCCTGGGAAAAGCTACAGAAATGATCAGAGTACTTGAGCCCCTGCTACAAATGTGGGAGACCTGGCTCCTGGCGCTGGCCCAGCCAAAGCTCCAGCCGTTGCAGCCATCTGGGGAGTGAACCAGTGGATGGAAGATCTCTGTCTCTCCCTCTGAAACTTTTTCAAATAAATAAATAAATCTTAAATAAAAAAAAAAAGCAAAGACTAAAATAACTATGAAACTCACGTGCACAAAATAACGAGAGAACAAGGGAATAATTCCTGGTACTGAAGACAGCATTTTAATACTCGATCATCATTGTTCTCATCACGCAATCCATCTGTAAATGTAGCAAAAGCAACTGTCAATGAGCACACTAGAAAAGTGGGTTCCACATGAACAATCTGGGCTGTAGTCCCAAATCTAAAACATGCTGAAGTTTGAAGGCAGTGAAACTACTCTATGATACTCTGAAGCAGACACAGGCATTTACATCTGTCCAAACCTACACAATGTGCAGTTCCCAGAGCAAACACTCAATCCAACAACAGCTCAGTGCTACCAATATTGTCAACGCAGGTTCATCAGCTCTAACAGACGCACCACCCTAGTGGTTGGAGGTATAATGGGGGAGGCTATGATGATGGGAGTACGGTGGGAAGTAATGGAAATCCATGTATCTTCTACTTAACTTTGCTGTGAGCCTAAAACTACTCTAAAAACTAAAGTCTATTTTTAAAAACTTAGAATAAAGAAAACTTCTTAAGTAAAAAGAAGATAAATGACAACAAAACAATGTCTTGGAAAAACTCTAGATCTACAATTCACATCGCATATAGCTGTGGACTTAAAGACTAGCATATGCCTATTAATAAGCTCAAAGGAAACAACTGGAATCAGTAGGATAAGTTGTTCTAGAATTCAAAAGCTGGGGCCAGCGCTATGGCGCAGTGGGTTAAAGCCCCAGCCTGCAGCGCCATGATCCCATATGGGTGCCACTTCCAATCCAGCTCTCTGCTATGGCCTGGGAAAGCAGTAGATGGCCCAAGTCCTTGGGCCCCTGCACCTGCGTGGGAGACCTGGAAGAAACTCCTGGCTCCTGGCTTCAGATCAGCTCAGCTCTGGCCATTGCGGTCATCTGAGGAGTGAACCAGCAGAATGGAAGACCTCTCTCTCTCTCTGGCTCTACCTCTCTCTGTAACTCTGACTTTCAAATAAATAAAAATAATTTTTTTAAAAAAAATCAAAAGCTATGAATCCTGGTCTCAACTCAGGTATGTATAGACTGTAAATGAATTATACAATTACATCACACTTAAAAATATCTCAGCTTTAAAAAAAAATGTGCATAAGCTAATCAGCACCCATTCTAAAGCCAAAATGAGCTGTGGAAGGAAGGAAACACAAGCCCTAGGCAGAGAACACAAAGAGTAATTTCTAATAAATGTTCATCGGTTGCTGAGAGGGTGTCCTCTGGCATTCTCCACGCCTTAAAACTTAAGTCTTTGAGAAAATAACGCAATGCGCAGTAAAAGGGCCAGACAGCATTTCTCAGCTTCTACTCGACCTGCCCCTGAATCTTGAGGGTGACTGTTAGTAATGTAGACTGCAGGGCACATCCAAGATTGATTTCCAGGTAAGAATTTTTGGAGCCTGGACCCAGATACTAATTTAAACTCTTACACACTAAAACAGAAGGCGTACTAGCCGAAAGACCTCCATTTGCTTCCCAGTGTACATTTTCCCCTCACTTCCAATCCAGCTCCCAGCTCATGCTCCTGGGAGAGCAGTTGGTCCAAGTACTAGGGTCGCTGCCTGCCACGTGGGAGACTCAGCTATTTGGGGAGTGAACCAGCAGATATCTCTCTCTCCCTCTCTCTGTAACTCTGCCTTTCCAATAATTAAAACAAATATTTTATAAAACCAGAATTATCAATACATGGAGCTGGAAAAATACATCTAAAAGTGCAAGAATGTTCATAAAATATTTACTAATTCAATAAATATTTTTTTATGCAATTGCTCAGGAACTTCACAAGTAAACAAAATAAAAACTCTAGAAATTGCCCAGTCTGGTTTTAATCTCTGGGCAAGGTGCTTCACCAGAGGGAGTCAATGAAGAGTGGATTTCCCGCAGCTGGCCCAGTATACAGCAACACTAAATGGTTAAGATTATATTATGTAAGAATCAGCTCAAATGGCAGCTCTACAGCAACCAGCTCTGTTACCTAAACCTCAAAAACAAATTCACATAAAACAGCAAGATTATTCATATCTAGTAGAATTGAATTTCCTCAAGTGCAATTATTATCCTCATTCACTGCTGCAGCCCATTCTTAGAAAAATGTCTGGTACAAATAGTCATCAAAAAAATGAATCAACAAAAATATAATTAAAGAAAATATAAGAATATGAAACAAATGTCTAATCAAGAGGGTGACATAAAACTTTCATATTTTGCCCTTTATTATTTTTACCCTCTTATTAAAGAATATGTAATTTTATAGAAAACTTAGAAAAAGGAAGCCAAGTTAAAATAACTCATATTTGTCAGTCAAATATCACCATTATTCATCATTTAATTATATGTGTAAATACATTTGGGATTATTTCTTATATTTTATAAACCTTGTTTTTATTTATTATTTTACTTAAAATTACATGCCATCAATGGTTCCCAAAACATAGTATTCTCTCACATGGCTACACCAATGTACTTACCATGTCCAATCGTTATAAAGGTAATTTACAATTTTTTGATGTACAATAATGCTTTGAGGAATAAATTTACCTAAACCACTGTGATCAACTCATTCATTTGCTTTGTTTTGTTTTTTTAAGATTTTTATTTATTTGAAAGGCAGAGTTACGGGTCTTGAACCAGCGCCCATATGGGATGCCAAGCACTGCAGGCAGCGGCTTTACACACACTACTACAGTGCTGGACCTCATTATTTCTTAAGATACATTTATACAGGGGGCCGGTAATGTGGCGTAGCGGGTAAAGTTGCCACTTGCAGTGCCCGCACCCTTTGGGTGCTGGTTGGAGGCCTAGCTGCTCCACTTCCAATGCAGCTTTCTGCCATGGCCAGTAGAAGATGACCTAAGTCCTTGGGCCCCTGCACCCACGTGGGAGACCTAGAAGTAGCTCCTGACTCCTGGCTTCAGACTGGCACAGCTCCAACTACTGCAGCCATCTGGGAAGTGAACCAGTGGATAGAAGATCTCTCTCTCTCTCTGCCTCTTTGAACTCTTGACTTTCAAGTAAACAAATAAAGTCATTAAAAAATAAGATACATCTATAGAAAGAAGATTTTACTGCTAGGCTCTTCAACGCACACTGCTTACTTACTGTCCTAGCCGCAGTGGGCATCCGGCTGGGTTCAGGATTCCGAGCCTCAGAGGGGCTGGGTCAGAGTCTGACTCCTGACTCCAGCTTCCTGCTGATGCACTCACGGGAAGGCAGCACTGAAGGCTCAGGAAGCTGGTCCTGGACCAGCACCGTGTGTAGCAGGTAAAGCCACCGGCTGTGCTGCCAGCATCCCACACAGGCACCAGTCCACGGCCCACTGCTGTGCTTCTGATTCGGCTCCCTGCTAATGGCCTGAGAAAAGCATCACTACCATTCACATGGGAGACCTGAATGAAGCTCCTGGCTTTGGCCTGGCCCAGCACTGGCGCTGCAGCCATCTGGGAGCGAACCAGCAAATGGAAGACATGTGTGTGCATGTGTGTCTAACTCTTGACTTTCAAATATATACATCTTTAAAAAAAGAAGTTGGGCCCCTGCCTCTCACATGGGAGACCTGGATTCTCTTAGGAAAAAAGAAAAAAAAAGGTGCCCAAAGTTCTGTAGTAGTAGAGACAAGTAGGCACATAGAAGTCCACAGTCCTGCCTGTGAAGTAGCGACAGTTTTTCCCTAAGTACGGGGAAAGCAGAAAAACAAAAACCCAAGATCCCAAACTAAGCTGCAAACCATCGCAACACCCTTCCCAAGTCACATTCCAATGCCATCAATTTTTTTAAAGGTTTGCACTACTTCCCTCCAATAATGTTAGCAGCCCAACAAGCCTAAAGTCAGGATGCACCGTGAGAGAACAATACTTACAAAATTTTTGTGATGCAAGTTGTATTGACTGACCCCACAGTTTCCTGTCTTTGCTTTTCAGACTGTCATTGATGAAATGAACTGCAGGGATAGCTTTGTACTGTGCATGTTTCAGTAGCTTTCCTTCTTTCATGCGGTCTAGTTCTTGCACAACAACCCAGGGGATTATTAAGATAAGTCTGTCAAAGCCTAAAAAAAAATAAGATTTCTTAGGATTCAACATTTAGTGAACTACCAAATCAAATAGTTGTAAGAAAAGCAAGTTTCCCTACTTTTAAGAAATTCACAATAAATGGATACAATAATTTGTAAAATGAAAATTAAAAAGGGAAGTGGCAAAAGTTAAAATAATAATATTGGAGATCAAAAAAATGCATTCAGATTGCTAGTTTAACTTAGGCTATTTTTTTTTTCAGTTAAACTGATTATGCTTAAGAGCACATCCAAACGGAGGCAGCCTTGAGGCACTGCCAAGTTAACCCACCACCTGCTAGCCCCCATCCTGTTAACCCACCACCTGCTAGCCCCCATCCTGTTAACCCACCAGCTGCTAGCCCCCATCCTGTTAACCCACCAGCTGCTAGCCCCCATCCTGTTAACCCACCAGCTGCTAGCCCCCATCCTGTTAACCCACCACCTGCTAGCACCCCACAATGGAGTGCCAGTGCAAGCTGACTGCTCTACATCTGATCCAACTCCCTGTTGATGTGCCTAGGAAGGAGTGGAAGATGGCCCAAGTGCTTGGGCCCTCTACCCACATGGAACAGCTGGATGGAGTCCCAGACTCCCCACTTTAGCCTAGTGCAGCACGGACATCCCAGCCATCTGGGGAAAGAATCAACAGAGGGAAGATCTCCGTCTGTCCCTCCATGGTTCTTTCAAGTAACAGATCTCTACAAAAGGGGGCAGGGGCACATCCAGATGGAGAGGTGTCCTTGAGGAAAAAGAAACAACAACCATTGACTTACACTTGTTTTTTAAATACCTGGTATTTCTGTTGTGTTCAAAATTCTAACAAATTTGAGATGATTCATCAGAATATTTGTGTCAATAACAATTAGCAGCTTTTTGTCCAAAGCAGTATTTGCTGGAGAAAAAGAGCACAACCAGGATTTCAGGACTCTTGAAAATAGACTTGCATAGAGACTAAAATTTTGATATCATACAACACAGAAAATTCAACTAAATTTAAAACCTATGATTTGTGAACTTAACCTATCAGAGAAATCACAGAATCAGCTGGACTCTCAGAGGGGTAACAGTCTGGTTCATCTTTGTGTTGCGAAGTAGGTTTTCCTGAGAACGAAGGGTCCCCTGGGCAGGAATCGGGACTCTTGTTTGGGGTGGGGGTGGAAGGGGTGGACTCATCCAGGACCAAGAGGGGAGAAGGTAAGGTCAGGTCTGGCAAAGCAGACACACATGAGGAGACTGGGAGCCAAGACTGGAAAACAGCCCGAGAGAGTCTGATAGCATTCCTCAGAGGAGGAAGTCCTCCAGAAAACGAAAAACAATTGCTTCTACTCCGGTTCTTAAGGGTGAAAGAATAGTAATCAATGGTTAGTGATATGAGACTAACATTAGAAATTGATTATGGGTAGATTTTAAACCATAGGCAGCCGTGCCTCAGCAGGAACTGTTTCTAAGCCCTGTCCTGTGGGACTTTGTGGTTGTACACTTAGCAATTTAAGCTAATTTTAGTAAAACTGGGTAGAACATAAATGAAAAAATAAACTTAAGTCTTCAAAAAGTTCATAGAAAAATACATATTATGGAAAAGCTATACATGGATTTCGGTTTCAAAATCTTTTGCACCAAAATAAATTTAACCTTTCATTCCATTTTCCACAAGCTTTTTAAAATACCCTCTATGAATAAAGGAATCAGATAATAATACCACTGGTATTATTATCTTATAGAGAAATTGTGAGAATCAGATAAGTTAAAGCCTAAGATATCATTTAGCATACTGAAAAATGCAATATGAATGCAAAACTACAATGCTATTTTTATAACTAGAATTCAAAATAGTATACTAATAGATTTTGGATAGTTCTCTACAATTATCTTTTTTTTTTTTTTTTTTTTTTTTTTTTTTTTTTTGACAGAGTGGAAAGTGGGAGAGAGAGACAGAGAGAAAGGTCTTCCTTTTGCCGTTGGTTTACCCTCCAATGGCCGCTGCGGCCGGCGCATCGCGCCAATCCGAAGCCAGGAGCCAGGTGCTTCTCCTGGTCTCCCATGGGGTGCAGGGCCCAAGCACTTGGGCCATCCTCCACTGCACTCCCTGGCCACAGCAGAGAGCTGGCCTGGAAGAGGGGCAACCGGGACAGAATCCGGCGCCCCGACCGGGACTAAAACCCGGTGTGCCGGCGCCGCTAGGTGGAGGATTAGCCTAGTGAGCCGCGGCGCTGTCTCAATTATCTTTTTTCAATAGTAAAAATGATCAGATTTTACTATGTGAACAAGAAATCCATGAATATAATCACATAACCTGTATTATTTCTACCCAGTGTTTTATATACTTCAAATTATTAAAATTTATGACTAAGAGCAAGAATAAAAGACAACTCATAACTCTACCTTTTGGCCACAGAAAAATAGAAAACTGCCTACTAACGTAAGATATATAAAACAAATTATAAGAGTAGGCACTGAGTCAAATGGTCAAGACACCAGGCTGGGATGCCTGCATCCAGCTGGGTTCGGGCCCAGCTCCGCTCCCAATTCCAGCCTCTTGCTAACATGCACCCTGGGAGTCAGCAGGTGAGGGCTCACGTGGCTGGGTCTCTGCCACCCCTTAGAAGACTGGGATTGAGTTCAGGCTCCTGGCTTTAGTCTGCACAGCCCTGCTATGGGCATCTGGAGAATGAACCAGCATATGGGGGCCCTCTGTCTTTCCTAGTCTCTCTGCATCTCAAGTTGGGCTGGGGGGGGGGGGGGGGGGTTTAAAAAAAAAAAAAAAAAAAGACAACCAATAGACCTGAATCCTGTAGGTGAAAGAAATATTCTATATCATTTCAAATGAGCATATTTTAACATTTTCCACCAAATACTGTACAAGTTAAATGCTGGCACATGAACTCTTAGAAGCACAGCAGTGCATCGGCATTAACATACATTAACACACCTGCAGAAGAATGGGCATCGTCTTCCACCAGGTCGACGTCCATACTCACTAACTCTCCAGAAGGCGGAGCCGCAGGCAAACCCACACTCTTCCCCACACGGGCAGCATGCAGCTCTTCCACTATCTGCATCTAAAGTGGAAAAGGCTCCAGTGAAGTATTCCGAGTTACGGATTCAACGGATTATTAGGAGAAGACAGCAATCAATTCTTAAGTTACAGACGACAAGACAGCTTGTGAAAGGAAAGTTTTTAAAAATATGGAAGCAGTATGGTAAAATAATTCAAAGCACAAACATATAAATGGCTGCTTTTTTTCCTTAAAGATTGATTTATTTATTTGAAAGGCAGAGTTACACAGAGAGAGAAGGAAGGTGAGAGAGAAAGAGAGAGAGAGAAGTTTTCCATCTTCTGGTTCACTCCCCAGATGGCTGCCGGAGCTGTGCTGATCCGAAGCCAGGAGCCAAGAGCTTCCTCTGGGTCTGCCACGTGGGTGCAGGGGCCCAAGGACTTGGGCCATCTTCCACTGCTTTCCCAGGCCATAGCAGAGAGCTGGATCAGAAGTGGAGCAGCCGGGACTCAAACAGGCAGCCATATGGGACACCGGCACTGCAGGCGGCAGCTTTACCCACCACACCACAGTGCAGGCCCCATAAATGGCTTTAAAAAATCATTTGGGGGGCCGGCGCCATGGCGTACTTAGTTAATCCTCCACCTGCGGCGCCGGCATCCCATATGGGCGCCGGGTTCTAGTCCCGGTTGCTCCTCTTCCAGTTCAGCTCTCTGCTGTGGCCCAGGAGGGCAGTGGAGGATGGCCCAAGTGCTTGGGCCCTGCATCCGCATGGGAGACTAGGAGGAAGGACCTGGCTCCTGGCTTCGGATCAGCGCAGCACTGGCCATAGCAGCCATTTGGGGAATGAACCAACAACGGAAGGAAGACCTTTCTCTCTGTCTCTCTCACTGTCTATAATTCTACCTGTCCAAAAAAACAAACACTGAATATCCAGTTCCTTTCAGGATTTTTCTGAGGATTAAATAAATTATGTGAAGCTCCTTGCAGAGAGCCTAGCACAGACATCATTTTCATTTTCATTTCATTTTCATTTCCATTCTCATTTCAAAGTACTTTGAGCCAAAGATGTGTTCTTGAGATTGTTTTTAAGACACGAAAAACAAAATCTAGATGTTAAGTCCCTTCTCAATTAGGGAAGTACTTCCATGATAAACCTTGATGAAAGGAAAACATAAGCTAAGCCAGCTTTACAGCAAAGGTAGGAAACCTTCTACCAAGGGACACTGACCGTAAGGAAAACACAACCAGCTGCACCAAACAATCAGTATTGTTGAAGTCTCTAAATAGAAAAGTACAGGGGCCAGCACTGCGACACAGCTGGTTAAGACGCCACACCTGCAGTGTCAGCATTCCACATGGGTGCTGGTTCATATCCCAGTTGCTGCACTTCTGATCCAGCTCCCTGCAAATGCACCTGGGAAAGCAGCAGAAGATGACCCAAGTCCTTGGGCCCCTGCACCCACATGGGAGACATGGATAGAGTTCCAGGCTCCTGGCTCCAGCCTGGCCTGAACCCACCTGTTGCAGCCATCTGGGGAGTGAACCAGCAGAAGGAAGACCTTTCTCTTTTTCTCTAACTCTGCCTTTCAAATAAATCAATAAATCTTTAGAAAAAATATAAGTGCTGCATGAATCTAATTTCAATTTAGTGCCAGAGAACATGAAGTGCCAACAGAAACTCTTTGAGGGTTAATCAGGAGATTTTAGCCAAGAACACGCGTGCATGTTTTCACTGAATAACATTTTCATCCTATTGCTGATTAGGGCAACGAGATAAAACACATTCATGTCATACTACATTTGTCAGTTGCCAAAGCCCAGGAGTACACTGATAAAAGTGCGGCAACATTAAATCAAAATGCAGGAAACCTGTGGGCCACGGGTTCCATGCTCTCTTCAAAACAGATTAGCTTATTAGAAACAAAGACAAAAAGAGTAACTGAGTAAACATAAATACATTTCCAAAGAGTTTCTGATGACTTCCTAAAAACTGCATATATTTTGGAGCCAGCGCCGTGGCATAGCGGGTAAAGCCGCCACCTGCGGTGCCGGCATCCCATATGGGCGCCAGTACGACACCCGGCTGCTCCACTTCTGATCCAACACTCTGCTATGGCCTGGGAAAGCAGAAGAAGATGGCCCAAGTCCTTGGGCTCCTGTATCCAGGTGGGAGACGTGGAAGAAGCTCATGGTTCCTGGCTTCGGATCGACATAGCTCTAGCCCTTGCGGCCATCTGGGGAGAAAACCAGCGGGTGGGAGACCTCTCTCTCTTTCTGCGCAACTGACTTTCAAGTAAAATAAAAAAACTTAAAAAAAAAGAATACATATTTTTAAGTAGATATATCACCATTATTTTCACATAATCAAGGTTTTCGTGGTCTCTAATTTTTATTAAAAGGATGAGCTGTTTGGCTTAATTTCATTAAAAATATTCAAAGCAAATAACTATCAATAACCTCTTGGTCTGTATCCTCAGTACTTTCAGATGACGCCGAAGAACGTACTGCTTCAAAATTCTGAAATGAAAAGCAGCTGTATTAGTTAAGAACAAACCATGAACCTAGAGTCTGGGTTCCCAGCCGTGGTACCAGTAACATCTGGGGACAGATCACTGTGCTGCCGCCGTGTGCACTTCAGGATACTCAGCAGAGCCCCTAGTCCCCGCACACCAGCCATCAGCAGCACTGCCCATCCACTCTGACTTACACAGCCAACACTGTCCCCAGACACTGCCCGACATGCCCTGGGTGGCAAAACTGCCCCTAGCCCCCAGAATAGGAAAACGCCATACTATCAAGGTGTGAAATGTGGTGGAAATTCTTCAAGGTTTATTCTTTCACATAAACACTGCTAAGAAAGATCCACATTCTAAACACAAAGCTAAGCTACAGGCCACTCTATGAAATACAAAGAACCACGGCAAAGGTAAACAAGCTGTCCTTCAGGACGGGAGATTTTCATCCAGGAATAACCGAGCCTCATCTAGAAAAACAACAGAGAATTTGAGAATTACAACATGCCCGAGGGGGCAGCACTGTGGTGCAGCGGGTTAATGCCCTGGCCTGTAGTGCCGGCATCCCATATGGGCACCGGTTCTAGCCCCGGCTGCTCCTCTTCCGATCCAGCTCTCAGTTGTGGCCTGGGAAGACAGAAGATGGTCCGAGTCCTTGTGCCTCTGCACCCATGTGGAAGACCTGGAAGAAACTCCTGGCTTCGGATTGGCACAGCTCGGCCATTGCGGCCATCTGGGGAGTGAACCAGCGGATGGAAGACCTCGCTCACTCTCTGCCTCTGCCTCTCCTCTCTCTGTGTAACTCTGACTTTCAAATATATAAGTAAATCTTAAAAAAAAAAAAAAAAATTGGCCAAGGCAAGAAGGCTGAAAAATGTACAGCTGTAATCTGTGTGGTTACAGCACCAGAGGATTGTGGTTTTATTTTTGTCTTCTAACAGAGACTGAAAAATCTCTCCATGAATTCCAACACTGTACTGGCACGTTTGCTGAATGGATGACACCTACTTGACCCCACATACAGGTTACAATCCAAACCAAAGCTTGTTCTAAGAATTCTCCGAGATAACTCCAAGCTCACCGGCTGTTTAGGAAGCTATTTATGGGATGCGTTACAGACCCTCTAAACAAGCGCATCATACGCAGAAATGCTTTATGAGAGCTCATCTTTCTGCCCCATCTTCCCAACACCATCAGACCTCACAAACGTCACACCGTACGCAGCGCACAGACGGCCCATTGGAGCTCTACCCTTCAGTGAGCACAGGATGCATAATTCCCTCTCCACCCGACTTTAAATCTATTAGACATCTTTATGGTTCTTGGACAGCAAACGGCAAGCAAGCTAGATTATTAGAACTTCTTGCGACTCCTGACATGCTAAGTCTCTCTCTTCTCTTCCTTAAGTCACTGCCGCTACTGTCAGTGCATGTGCTGTCACCCGACAATGCAGAAAAGTCCCACCAACTCAGTGAGCCCATGACTGCTTGCCTCCCCTGCCACGTTTCATTAGGGGTGACAAAGGGGATACCAATCATAAGGATACTAATGGTGTTATCTCTCAACAGAAAATGCAATGACACTGCCCCCGATCACATTCCAGGGGTTCTCTTCCAGCTAAGGACACATGAGAAAGAACCACCCCGTCAGGACACTGGCTTCCTCACTGACTTCTGCTCCCACATTTCTGCACGCGCTGACTCAGTCACACTGAGCAATGCACATGCCTCCTGCAGTGCGCCTGTACACCTCTGTGTCAGTCACTCAACTGTCACCTACACAGGATGGACAGCACTTCCACTCCTCGCTCTACACACCCTTCAGACCAAACTCAACAATCTCAGGCTGGGCGAGTCCTTTCTTAACTTGTCCAGAGGGCCGTGCTAACACCACGGGCTCTGACATTCACTTCACTACAGCACAGTTCTGTATATTCACTGACCGTCCTTTCCGGGGCATCCCGAGGGTGCAGATCCTCGCACTCATCTCTAAATCCCTGCATCTGAAAAGCACTTACCTTTAATTAAGGTTTAATAAATGAATGAATTCCAGGCTCACAGACTGGTAAGAATAGCGGTTTATAAGCCATGAGTCCAGAACATTCATTCGTACTGAGGGGAGGGGGTCTAGATCAAAGAACTAGTAACTAAGAAATAAAAGCAGCTGTTTTCAGGGACCAGCGCTGTGGCACAGTGGCTTAAGCCACAGCCTGCGATGCTGGCATCCCATATCAGAGTGCTGGTTCGACTCCACTTCAATCCAGCTTTCTGCTAAAGTGCCTAGGAAGACAGCCTAGATGACCTAAGTACTTGGGCCCCTGCCACCCACGAGGGAGGCCAGAGGTCGTGGCTCCCGGTTTCACCCTGGCCCAGACCTGGCTGTTGCAGCCATTTAGGCAGTCAGTCAGCAGAAGAAGATCTCTGTCTGTCTCTCCCTCTTTGTTTCTGTGCCTTTTTTTTTTTTTTTTTTTTTTTGACAGGCAGAGTGGACAGTGAGAGAGAGAGAGACAGAGAGAAAGGTCTTCCTTTGCCGTTGGTTCACCCTCCAATGGCTGCCGCGGCCAGCGCACCGCGCTGATCCGATGGCAGGAGCCAGGAGCCAGGTGCTTTTCCTGGTCTCCCATGGGGTGCAGGGCCCAAGCACCTGGGCCATCCTCCACTGCACTCCCTGGCCACAGCAGAGAGCTGGCCTGGAAGAGGGGCAACCGGGACAGAATCCGGCGCCCCAACTGGGACTAGAACCTGGTGTGCCGGCGCCGCTAGGCGGAGGATTAGCCTAGTGAGCCATGGCGCCGGCCCTGTTTCTGTGCCTTTCAAATACATTAATAATTTTTTTTTAAAAAGTAGCTATTTTCTCTCTAGGAAAGCATAATAAGTTAACTAACAACATGATTATTAAATCCAGAAATTATTTCCTTAGAAGTACACTCATTATAGATAAACAATCAGCTACTGAGGAATTAGTAAAACAAAACAAATAAGGAATTAAATTGATTATCTGCAGTCAGTGATGTGCCCCTGCATCTCCCAGCCTGCTGCCTTCATCTGGGTGACTCCAGCTCATTCTTTAGTTCTCACTTTAAACACCACCCCTCCACTGAACCTTTCTGAATGAATCTACCCACAGTCCACCAAGGCTTTGTTCATCCCCTGCGGTGTCTTCTCGTGATAAATAACAAGGACTTTACCCATCATATTTAAGGAAAGTGCTTATCTTTCCTTATAATAAGTCTGAAACAGAGAATGAGTGTCTCTTACAGGCTAGTTCACTGCAGTATCTGGCACAGAGTTGCCTTGGAAAAATCATCTGTTGAAGGAATAAGCAATTCAGAATACTCCCCAAGTGTGCTCCAGTGTCTGGGGCTGCATCTGGAACCACCTGTCCCCACCCTTGCACACACTTCCTCCGCACGGGTCAGTATCACAGGGCATCGTCCCAGTGAAGGCGGCACCAAAGAGAGCAAGACAGGAGATCCACACGTCCCTTCACGACAACCTTCCGTCACCCCGCTGTGCCGACCCTCAGCGTCAGAGTCCTCGGCTGACACCTACACACCTCGCGCTCCTCACCTCAGCAGCGGTTTCCCCAGAACTGCAGTCAGTGCTCTGCGGACGCTCATCACGAGAGGTGCCTTTCCACTCAGCAGCAGGCTGCTTACGTGCGGCATCTGAAAACCAGCGTCTGGGTTTGTGCCTGACAGAACTGCAGGAAGCGCGGAGGCCTTCCCGGCGTTCTTCCTCCTGCTCAGCCTCCCACTTGCCAGACTCTTTCTGGAGGGCAGGATGGGATTTAATCGGGATTTTGAAACTGATCTTCCTTCTACATTCGAAAGTCTCCTTGATTATCTCGTTGGAGTTAGAATCCTGAGAAAATGGAATTCTCTCGCGTTTCTCCGAGAAACGTTGTTCAGAACTGTCTCTAAGTTTACTGTTCCTTTTTTTCTTGCGTTTTTTCGTCTTTTCCCTCTGAGCAAGTAAAGGAGGCCGTTTCTCTTCCCCTGCCTGGCCTGCAGCTTCAGGTCTCACATCTCTGGCAGTCCTAGGACTGCTAAGGTTCGTAACATCACGATCAAGTGTACTCCTTACATTTGTCAATTTAATATCTTTAAGTTTAAAATCTGCGTAGTTATTTATATCTTTTTTAGCTCCATTTGAGGAAGGACTATGTGAAGTAATTTGATTATCATTTGAATATGAGGCTTCTTGGATTTTATCAGGTTCTTGGGATGAGGAATTGATTTTCAGTCTCTTTCTGGGAGTGTCAATTTCTACACTCAATCTGCAAAGCAGAACAGAGACCCAGGTTACAGTTATACATAATGCTGCAGTTTACCATTTTAGTTAGGGACGACAGCACTGGCCTGACACCAAAGTTCATAAAAAGTAAGAAATGGTCACATTAAAAATGAAGTGAAAAGAATTGCTGGACAAATAATGTGGGAATCACGGGTTTACTATTTGGAAAAAAAATACAAATTTATAGCTTTGTGTAATAGCAACCATAAATTCCAAAGGGATTAAATACTTAATACCAAAATACTCATTATCATAATTGCTATAATTTTTATCAAACCCTTATAAACCCCGGGTGGGGGCAGAGAGGGGAAAGAGAGGAAGAGGGAGAAGGAGTGTTTGATTTCCAACTATGATAACAGTGGGAGAAATAAAGAAAAACATTAATAGCAATGTAACTATTTAAAACCTCAGAATACAAAAAAGATTTTAAAAATCAGAAGAACTGAGAAATGGTATTTGCTAGAAATGTGACAACTTACTACCCTCAGCAGATAAAAAGCCCATCAAAAAATACTAAAACTCCAGATTAGGACATAAAAATTAAAGAGAAAAAGGGAATGGCTAGTAAACATTTTTTTTTAAAAAAAGTATATTCTCAATAATTTGAATAAGCATAATAAAAAGACCAGAAAGAGGCCAGCACCATGGCTCAACAGGCTAATCCTCCGCCTGCGGTGCCGGAACCCCGGGTTCTAGTCCCGGTCGGGGTGCCGGATTCTGTCCCGGTCGCTCCTCTTCCTGTCCAGCTCTCTGCTGTGGCCCGGGAGTGCAGTGGAGGATGGCCCAAGTGCTTGGGCCCTGCACCCACATGGGAGACCAGGAGAAGCACCTGGCTCCTGGCTTCAGATCAGCGCGGTGTGCCGGCCACAGCAGCCATTGGAGGGTGAACCAACGGAAAAGAAGACTTCTCTCTCTCTCTCTCTCTCTCTCACTGTCCACTCTGCCTGTCAAAAAAATAAAATAAAAAATAAAAATAAAAAAAAGAGCTAAAGGCAATAATATTTTCCTGCTTAATAAAAGCAGACATTACTTTGTAGTCAAAAAGAAAGGGGAAAATGTTTAATTAAACACAATCCATTAATTCATGTTAATATAAATCGTTAATTTTTAAGAGCCCATCATTCCACTAGGCATTGAACAGCCAGTAACACATAACATGTAAGAGTCCTAACACCAACTGGTTTACAGTTCAACAGAAGAAAAAGACAGTAAATAAATGACTTCTCTAATAATTAAGAACACAGGAACCAGCTATAACATCTCAGAGTTCTAAGAATTCCACGTGAGTCTCCATCTGGTTTTAATTTCTTTGTTACCTCTTTTGTACAAAAAAAAAAAAGCAAAACAACAACCGCCTATGGGTCAGGTATTTGGCTCAACAGTGAAGTCACTGCTTGGGACATCCCTATCCCACGGCAGAGTGCCTGGGCTTGCTCAGGTCCCAGCAGGTGACACATGGGCAGCTGGACCCCTTCCTGGCTCCCAGCTTCAGCCTTGCCCAGACAGCCCAGCTGTTGCAACCATCTGGAGAGTGAACCAGCAGGTGAAAGATTTCTCTGCTTCTCTTTCTGCTTTTAAATAAACATAATTTAAAAGAAATCCACACGTAGTTTTTTCATTATACATTCTCCATGAACTTTCTGAAGCCCCATATATGGACAACTCAACAGGGAGCGGCGAGTCCATTTACACTTTGCCCTCTTAGATTAGCACATAAAGGCAAGGGCTAAAAATTGTGCCATTAAGCTAAAGGCAACTAGTGAAAAGTCAAAGTGTTTCAGAACTTAAGAAGTCCAAAGGGAATTAAAAGTCTGGTTTAGAGAAACACACTAAGGAAAACTATCATGTGAACATGAAGGCAGAGATGGGGCAATATCTACACCCCTAGAAGTAGTCAGAGATCATCAGCAAATGACCAGAAGCTAAAGGAAGGCATGGACAGAGGCTCCCCTACAGCCTCAGGAGGAACCGAGCCTGCCCAAACTCAGATCTCAGACTTGGGTTGTTGAAGCCAACCATCCTGTGGGTTTGACTACTGGAAGGAAGGAGAATGGCACAGGATACATGAGTTGGGGCTGCCCTCAACTTGTTCCAGCACTCTCTGCAATGTTGTGGCGCAGGGCGCACTGTACACAGGGGGTAGTACTCACACCCCAGAGAGCCCTGTCACAGAAGTTCAGGAAGGAAGGAAATCTAGTTTGGAAAAGTCAGGCAGTGACAGTCACCATAACACAAACGCCATGATAGAATGAATGTACCTCAACAAAGCAATGTCTCACCAAAACACAGAGATGATTCAAAAGAAAAACTGAACAAAAGTAAGAGGCAAATTGGATTTGTCTGTCTGTTTTCTGCAGACACTGGAATTGTTCAGGAAGAACTTTTATTTATACAATTAAGGCTGCTTTGTTTCCCAGGACTTTCTCCAAGAAATCCTCATCGCATCAGCACCTGTCACACATTATACCTGTTAGACTCACTCACATTCCTTCATGACAAAATTCCAAGACCTTTCTCTAAAGAATAAGAAATTAAAGAATGTCCCTTATTCTAACCATCACTCTCCAAGTTCCCGAGTTCTTACTACAAGCTGGCTAATAACACAGCTGGAACCAACACGACCTAATAAGCTACACAATCTCTTCGCAGGTGTGGAAAATAACTAATTCAAAACTTCTAAATAAGCCTCAAGTGTCTGCCCTTGGTGCATGTAATGAAGTTATATATATATATCTTATATATATTATCTTATAATCTTATAATCAAGTGCAAAACAAATCATTTGAGACAAAAATCTACATTTTGAGTACAAAACATAGTTTTCATGGTCTTTTATTGCACTCAACTTTTTTTAAAATTTATAATAAGAAAATTCAGTAATCATATTTGCATGCACAACAGTAGTAATCAAAGTAAAATAAGATTTTTCCAAACTTAAATATTTAGTCTCACAATTCTAAGCCAAAGTCTATGAGTATCAAGAAAAAGGGGAATTTACCTTTTCAAGTTTTGTCTTCTTTTCATATTATAGCACAGAGTGTCTGCATGATCTGATTTCTGAAATTAAAAAAAGCATCATTTAGGAAATACAAATTCTGCACTGGTGCTGTAATAATGGAAAAGGGGTTGAGACTGTGTTTTTTCCAGAGCAATGTGTTGGTGAATAGGCTGACACAGTGGTTTACTCAATCTTTCCAATAATCTGAGACAATGACAATATTAATGTTTGTGGGGAGCAACTGGGAGCAACTCGGACTAGACTAAGTTACTGGAATTAAGACTTATTCTATGCATCTGCTCTCCCACAATATGGCGCTGAGAAGGGAGTAACAGCTTCTACACAGCTGCCTCCAGTTCAACCAATAAGCAGCAGGAGCTGCTCCTGATTGGAGGAGAGCAGCGTACTCGGCGTGTGGGTAGCAGAGTTGGGATTGGTGGAAGAGGACTATAAAGGAGGAGACAGACAACATGCACCAGGAACATCTATCTGAAGGAACACCTGAGCAGCCCCTGAGAGAGCCGGCCGGCGGTGTGCCGCTCCCCCGCGGAAGTGGGGAAAGTGGCAGGGAGGAACCGCCCTTCCACGGAGGTGGAAGGGTCGGTAGCCAACCCGGGAAAAACCAGCAGCAAACCCGGGGAGGGCCGAGCAGACAAAAGAACAGCGCAGGGTCCTGTGTCGTTCCTCCACGAAGACGGGGAGCGACATAATGGTGCCGTGACTCGGATAGGAAGCCTAGGCAGGGTCTAGTGTCGTTCCTCCACGAAGAGGGGGAGCGACAAATGTTTGTATTTTACAGATAAAGTGCCAAGGCTCACCAGAACTGGGCCTCCTCCTCAGCATAACAGAGCAAGGCAGTAGCAGAGGCCTGAACCCAGATCAGACTTGCTCCAGCATCCTGGCTCTGGTATACTCTGGGGATCCCAGCAAGGCCTGAGAAAAGGCAGGCAGACATAAGGTACAGTCCCTGACCTAAAGAAAACAGAGTGAACAGATACAGAGAAGAGAAGTAGAAGGGAACGCACATGCACTCTGATGTAACTGTCAAAGCAGAAAAGTCAAATGCTGGATGAAGGTGACCAAGAATAAGATGAACAAGGTAGATGCTAAAGATCGAAAGATGGGTACAAGGGCCGGCGCCGCGGCTCACTAGGCTAATCCTCCGCCTTGCGGCACCGGCACACTGGGTTCTAGTCCTGGTCGGGGCGCCGGATTCTGCCCCGGTTGCCCCTCTTCCAGGCCAGCTCTCTGCTGTGGCCCGGGAGTGCAGTGGAGGATGGCCCAAGTGCTTGGGCCCTGCACCCCATGGGAGACCAGGAGAAGCACCTGGCTCCTGCCATTGGATCAGCGCAGTGCGCCGGCTGCAGCGCGCTGGCCGCGGCGGCCATTGGAGGGTGAACCAACGGCAAAGGAAGACCTTTCTCTCTGTCTCTCTCTCTCACTGTCCACTCTGCCTGTCAAAAAAAAAAAAAAAAAGAAAGAAAGAAAGATGGGTACAATTCCAACAATTCTGCTGACATGCTATGTGTTCTTGTTTTTTTTTTTTTTTTTCTTTTAAGATTTGTTTATTCATTTGAAAGGCAGAGTCAGAGAGAGGCAGAGGCAGAGAGCTGGATTGGAAGTGGAGCAGCAGGGACCCGAAACAGCACCCACATGGGATTTCGGCAATGCCGGCAGCAGCTTTACCTGCTATGCCACAGTGCCAGTCCCGTGTTTTTGGTTTTTAACACTTAATTTTAACATTTCAGTATCACCATACATTAACAGTCCTATAATAATTAATCATTAAATAATTCTGAAAGAGTCACCACTTAGATTGCCTGAATGTTATGTGGTGCTTCTCGGCTGTATTTATACTGTGTGTGGGGCTGGCGTCGCGGTGCAGAGTAAGCTGCTACCTGTGATGTTGGCATCCCAGATGGCGCCAGTGTCCCAGCTCCTCTGCTTCCAATCCAGCTCCCTGCCACTGCACCTGGGAAAGCAGTAAGAGATGCCTCAAGTCCTTGGGCCCCTGCCACCCACAAGGGAGACCCAGATGGAGTTCCTGGTTCCTGGCCTCAGCCTAGTCCAACCCCAGCCACTGTGGCCTTTCGGAAAGTGAACCAGCAAATGCAAGATCTCTTTGTCACTCTTTCAAATAAACAAAATGAATCTTGAAAACCCACACACACACAATTCCACATTCCTGGAACCTGCAATTCTTTCTCTTACACCCACAACTATGAAGCTACACTGTGTAGGCACGTAACCCCAAGTTGAAGGCATAAATACTTCATCAACCACTCAAGAACCAGCTGAGTGTGTTTAATAGTCTATCACTGTTTCTAATTACTTGGGAAAGAGTGGGAAGAATTCTGGGCTTGGTTCTATTGCTATATAAAGTTCTGTGTCCTTGGACAAGTCATTCAAAATCTGGATCAATTTCCGAATCTGAAAATGCAAACGACCTGTCTGCCCTGATTACCTCAAAAGGAAATTGTCAAGATAAACACACGTGAATATACTTAAAAATGGTCTTAATTCATATCCCTGTTGTCTAAACCCAAATGATAGGGTCTTTTCAGCACAAGAAATGAAAATGCTTTTTGGTGGCTAGAAGGGAGAAAAAAGCTGAATCTTGACTTTCTTTCTGATGGGTATCAAAAATTAAGTACAGGATGCTGGCACTGTGGCACAGTGAGTCAAGCTAACACCTGCAAGGCCTGCACTCCATACAGGTACAGGTTCATGTCCCAGCTGCTCCACTTCCAACCCAGCTTCTTGATAATGGCCTGGGAAAGCAGAGCAAGATGGCCCAAGTGTTTGTGCCCCTGCACCCACATGGGAGACCTGGACGACGCTCCTGGCTCAGCCTGCGACGATGCTATGGAAATAAACAAAGCAGAGCAAAGGGACGAGAAAGGCAGCAAGGCAGTGTGCAGGATTTGCAATTTTAAACAGAGTACTCAGAAAATGCCTTACTCGGGACAATGCTGTGGCAATGCAGGTAAAACCACCACCTGTGGCACCGGCATCCAACACAGGCTCGGGTTCAAGTCTCATATGCTCCACTTCCAATCCAGCTCCCTGCTCATGCACCTAGGAAAGCAGCAGAAGCTGGCCCAAGTACTTGGGCTGCTGCACCCACGTGGGAGACCCAGAAAAGGCTCCTGGCTTCAAATTAGCCCGGCTCCAGCTGTTGCAGCCATTTGGGGACTAAACCAGTAGATGGAAGATCTCTCTTCCTCCCTAACTCTGCCCTTCAAATAAATAAATATTAAAAAAAAAGAAAAGAAAATATCCCTGCTGATGAGTTGACAGCTGAAAGGAGATCTCAACAGAGTAAAGAAATAAACCGTATGAATACCTAGGGAGAGTTCAATTCAAAGGGAACACCAGCAAGTACAGGCAGTTGGAACATGTATGGCTTACTTTGATAGCGACAAAGAATCCCTGGAGGGCAAGGGCAAAGGACAGAGGGATAGGGGATGAGCTGGGGAGAGAAGGCAGTGCTCAGGCAGCCCAGTAAGGACTTCAGTGTTTCCTCTGCATGACAAGGAAAACCACCACAAAGTATGGACTGGGGCCCGTGCTGCGGCACAGCCTGTAAAGCCTGCAGTGCTGGTCAGTGGGTGAAAGCCCTGACCTGTAGCACCGGCATCCTATACAGGCACTTATTCAAGTCCCGCTGCTCCACTTCCAATCCAGCTCCCTGCTATTGTGTCTGGGAAAGCAGTGGAAGATGGCCCAAGTGCTTGGGCCCCCGCACCACGGGAGAGAACCGGAAGGAGCTCCTGGCTTCGGATTGGCCCAGCTCCAGCCATTGCGGCCATTTGGGTAGTGAACCAGCAGATGGAAGATCTCTCTCTCTCTCTGCCTCTGCCTCTCTGTAACTCTGCCTTTCAAATACATAAGTAAATTTAACAAAGTATGGAACAGAGAAGTGAAATGATCCGACCTTTTTTTAAAGGTATTTATTTTAAAGGCAGCACATGAAAGAGATAGAGAGGAAGAAAGAAAGAGATCGATCTTCTAACTGCTGGTTCAGTCCCCAAACACCCCCAATAGCCAGGGTCGGGTCAGGCCATAAACACGAGCCAGAAACTCCATCTGGGCCTTCCACAGGGCGGCAGGAAGCCAGGCATTTGGGCCATTATCTGCTCCTTTCCAGGCACATCAGTAAGAAGTTGGATCCAAAGCAGAGTAGCTGGGACTTGAGTCAGGCCCTCCAATAAGGGAAGCATGTGTCCCAAAAAGTGGCTTAACTCACTGTACCACAGTCTACCCCCGACTTAAATTTAATAAGACGACACTGGCTCTGTGATGAGCAAAGACCACAAAGAGGCAAAGGTGGAGGAAAGACTTCTCCAGGTCCTGAGAGTCTTGCAAACCAACCTGCCACCACAAAAGTCACCTTTGCCGAGCAGTCTCACCTCGGACAACGAAGCAGCACAGTCTGGTGAGGAACCACACACACCATTCAGAGAATATATAATGAAACTATTTTAGGACTTTTGTTTTGGTAACGACAATCACACTGCAGTCTTGCTTCCTCAGCTCAGCTTGGTAAATGAGGTATCCTAAATTTTACCTACCAAAACACTTATCAAGGCAGTGTATTGAGAGTAATAGAGAAAGGCACACGATGAGCATGTCTTCCCTACGCTTAGTCTCTGTTCTGATAAGTGAAATCTTAGCCAACACCCAAAAAATGGAAAAGGAAAAAAAGGTGAGAAGTGGCACAACAGTTATAGCCATGCATGGGAGAATCCGAGAGGCTTAGAATTGAAATCAGGAATGCCTAAGAAAATTACTTACCTCTCAATAACTATTCTCTAAGCTCTAGTTTCTTCATCATTGTAATTGGAGTAGTAGCACCTACCTCAGTGTAGGGAGGAATATATAAAACAATGCAAGTAAAGAACGGGACAAATAAATGCCTTCTCCTGGAACAGACAGGCAAAACAAAATATTTACGTCCCTCAGGGGCAGGCACTGCCGGTCTGGCACATCTGAGTACCTGGGTTTGATCCCTGGCTATCCTAACTCCAAATCCCTGCTAATGCTGACTGGGAGGCAGCAGTGAGGGTTCCTGCCCCTCCCTGGGAGGCCTGGACTGAGTTCCTGGTTCCCAGGTCCAGCCCCAGCCAGCTAGGAACTTTGTAGACATTTGGGAACTAAGCCAGAGAAGGGACACTCCCATGTTCTCTCTCAAAATAAAAATGTTTTTAAAACCACTTATATATCTCACTGTAAAAGTAAGCTGTATTTTTCTCATTATACAAAAACAAATTGTAAAACAGTTTAGGTTAATAAATCAAAATTCTTACTTCATCAGAGACGGGTGATAAAGCATTGCTTTTTCTCTGAGATGGCTCCTTGTTTCCACAAGATTCTTTGTTGGACATCTTGAAAAGCTAGAATAACATCAGAAATGCATTATGCATTTTTACCACAGCAGAAGTCCATTAGAAATCATTTCTTTTTCAGGGCATAAAGACATTTTCCAGTCATGCCCAAGATGATCAGACTCTCTCAGTGGCCCATTTTCTTTTTCACATTCTCTTTCAGAATAATTCCTTCTCCTCCCTCAGCTTTATCTGTCACCTTTTCAGGAAGGGCTCTCAAAACCATGCCTTAGGCCTGACTTCTCAGGACGCATCAGATCCTCACTCTAACTGCCTGCAGGACTGCTCTGTTTCGCCCCACCTACACCTCAAGGCCAATTACTCATAAGAGCTTGTTCTTCCTGATACGCCCTGTGACTTACTAAGATGCTGGATAAAGTGCACACATTTTGATAGCCCTAGTTTCTCCATATGTAAAACAGACATAATCTACCCAGAGGACTTCATAAGGACTCAAACGAAACAATGGGTGGGTCTAAACAATAACTCGTCTATGTGGTGGTCTTTCTGCTAGAACACACTGAGTCCAAGTGTAGTGGGCTCCCAACAACTGCTCTGGCCTGGCAGCTGTGCCGCGGGTTCAGACGTGCACGCCCGCTTCCGAGTACCCGGCTTAGACGCCCGGCTGTGCTCCGGAAGACCTCAGGAAGCAGCAGTGGCGCCGGAGTAGCTGGGTTCCTGCCACCCTAGAGGAGACCTGGGCTGAGTCCCTGCCAGCAGCTTCAGCCGCAGCCCAGCCCACTGCAGGCATCTGGGGGCTCAGGCAGCAGATAAGGAGCTCTCACTTTCTCAAATTAAAAAATAAATATATATTTTAATGCCCATTGAGTGACTTCTTCCTCAGAATATTGACTCTTTCATTCTAAGTCCCTTCCATCTGTTGCCCATTGAAATTCCTCTGTCCAATCTGCAGTCTAACTTTTCCAGCCTTACTCTGGATCAAGTCAATACTGTTAGCTGACAAAACAAACAAAAAAAGCAGTAAGATAAACACAGCCACACCATATGGTCATAAACAGTCTCAAGTTCGTGTACCCTCACAGCATCCTGTGCTGGCACACAGAGACCAGAAATTGAGAACATTATCAGGTCTGCTGGGGCAGGAAGACACTAAAGGGATCTAAAAGGAGAGCCCAAAGGAGGGTACCTGACTGGTAGATACATAAAGACTATGAACAAAACAAACGCTGGAAACCAAGCAACTCCAATCATGATCACAGTAGGCAAAGTTCCATAAAAGAATGACCAATTATACTGCATCAAACTTTTAGAATACTGAAGAGTGCAAAGAAAAAGAAAATGCACATAGTTAACACAAAACTTAATAACAAGAATTAAATAAATATTCAACACGCATTTCTAAGAGCAGACCCTAAATCACCCAGAAATTTCGGCTTGTTCACAGTAACAGTTGAATTCACGTTTGAGCTTCCAGACTACACTAGTAATCTTTTTCCTCTCTCGGCCCAAGGATTCCATTCTATGGGTGGAAAAGTCACAATAAAATATAGGAACTTCCAGGAAAGGCACTATTTAAAAAAAAGTTACTTTCTTCTAAATATTTATTTATCTGAAAGGCAGAGTTAGAGAGAGGCAGAAGCAGAGAGAGGTCTTCCATTCTCTGGCTTACTCCCCAGATGACTGCAACAGCCTGAACTGAGCCGATCCAAAGCCAGGAGCTTCTTCCAGGTCTCCCACACGGGCGCAGGGGCCCAAGGACTTGGGCCATCTTCTACTGCTCTCCCAGGCCATAGCAGAGCGCTGGATTGGAAGTGGAGCAACTAGGACACAAACCGGGGCCCATATGGAATGCTGGCACTGCAGGCGGCGGCTCCGCAAATAACTTTCTAATGTCATCTTTTACAACTTAACCTGATCCATGCTGGTCTGTTGTAATTGCTCTGAACATAAAATAATACTAACTTCTTATCCACAGGACACACTGAAAAATTCAGACTGTCCAGGAAAAAAAAAACACCTATATACTTATGACAAATGTTTTATAATCAGCTTAGTATGAAATTTATACTGACTGCACACAAATCAAAATAAACAAGGGTGGCCGATGCTGTGGTGTAGCGGGTTAAAGCCCTGACCTGCAGCACCAGCATCCTATATGGGCGCCAGTTCGAGTCCCAGCTGCTCCACTTCCAATCCAGCTCCCTGTTAATGCACCTGGGAAAGAGGATGGCCCACGTCCTTGGACCCCTGCAACCCAGTGGGAGACCCAGAAGAAGCTCCTGGCTCCTGGCTTCGGATCGAATCGGCTCGGCTCCAGCCATTGCAGCCATTTGGGGAGTGAACCAGCAGATGGAAGACCTCCCTTTGTATGTCTCTCTCTGTGCAAATCTTTCAAATAAATAAAACAAATCTTTAATAAACAAGGAGGACTTCCTCTGTGGCTCCCCACTCTCCCAGGGTGCCCGCCACAGTGATCAGCACCATGTGACCCCGCAGGACCCTGCCGCAGGGTGGGAGGCACGGGCAGGAGTCCCACAGGACACTGGGGCTTATCCCGCCTTGCTCCTCCCTGGATTGGTCATCCCAGGGAATCCAGCGCCAGGGCAAGAGGACGCTCAAGCAGCCAGCGAGAAGGCCGCACGGCCAAGACCGGAGGCCTGCTGTCAGTGACCAGAACCCAAGCCGAGGCACGGGAGTAAGCAACCCCTGGAAACCGAGCAGCCCTCAACAAGGGCGCACAAGCCTTCACCAGCAGCAGCTGCGTCCAGGAGCCGGGAGAGGTTAAAGGCGCAGCCCCGACACAACTCCCGGGAGGGGAGGCGGCGGCTGACTCCCGGGGCCACTTTGAAACGCCGCAGGGCCTCTCTCCCTGGGTTCTGAAACACGCAGGCAAGACGCAGGTGGAAAAGCCAGGCTTTTCTTAGGAAAGGGAACTGGGCGTTCACTGGGCTGCCCGCGCCCGTCCTGCCGCTGTCCACGGCGCCGGGCCCAGTCCCAAGCTGGCCAGGCAAAGAACTTCCCCCAGCCGCCACACTGGACGCCCAGCGGGGTCAGGAGAAGGGAACGCCGAGGCTCAGGCTGCGCCCAGAGGGCCGGGGAGCGGGCAGCGGGGGGACACCCAAGAGCCTTGGCTAACAATCCGCAGGACAGGACGCAGTCCCCACGCAGGCTGAAGCAAAAGCAACAGCCAGAAGAGCGCTGGGGCCCCGGGACGCAGACCCGCAGAGCCGGCTGCCCAGCCACTCCCGGGCCGACCCGACCCGACCCGACCCGACCCTCACCCAGCCGGGGCGCGAGCCGCCCCTTCCGCAGCCCGGCCCGGCAGCGGACGCCCGGGGTCGCCGGTCGGGGCTCCGGGGCTCCCGGGTCCGCAGCGCCGGCGGCCCGCGGGGTGCGCGGTGGGGCCGGGGCTCCGGACAGGCCAGGCCCCTGCCGGGGACGCCCGCCGGCCGCTGCCCACCTGCGCCGCCCGCGACCCCCACTCCCCACCCCTGCCGGGGACGCCCGCCGGCCGCTGCCCACCTGCGCCGCCCGCGACCCCCACTCCCACTCCCGTTCTTCGCCCCCCTCCCGGGACCCCACTTCTCGCCCCTCCGGGGACGCCCCGCCGCCGGCCGCTCGCCACCCGCGACCCTCGCTCTCCCCTGGGGACGCCCCTGCCCACCCGAGACGCCCGGCGCCGCGCCGGCCTCACCTGCGCCGCCGCGCCGGCCGCGGCCACCCCAGGCCCGAGCCCGGAAGCCCGCCGAGGCCGCAGGGGCCGCCGGGAAGTGTAGTCCGGGGCTCGGGCCGCGCCGCCGCCGGGCGCCGCGAGCCGCGCGTTGCTGCTGACGGGCGGCGCAGCGAGCAGGGGCGCGCAGGGGGCCCGGCCGTCGGCGCCCGGCCGCTCCCGCGCGTCTGTCCCGGGGCCTGCCCTGCGTGCGAGGCGCCGGCCGGGTGGCGTTCGCGTCAGCTCCCGAGCCCCGCGGGCCCGGGCGGGCCTGGCTCGGAGGCGGTGACGGCGAACATGGCGGAGGAGGAGCCGCGACCCCCGCCGGAGGCGGCCCGCGTGCCGGCTGCAGACGCGGACCCGAGCCCGGCCGCGGGCCCGGCCCAAGCCTCGGCCCCGGCGGAGGCTGGAAGCAGTAAGTGCGGGAGGCCCGGGCCCTCGGCCTCGCGCGGTGCTCTCGCCGGGCGCGGCGCGGGGAGACGCCGGGCCAGCCGCGGGAGCGGCCGTGCGGGGCGCGGGGCGCCGCAGGTGGAGGGGAGCCTGAGGCGGCGGGCGGCTGCGCCCCGCTGGGGTCGGGGTGTCTTGTTATGAAGCAAAAATAGCAGTTTGCACGCAGACCGACAGCGCCCCTCCAGCGCGCGGGCGTGCCCGGTCCGGGGGCGCCCGGCTGCCGACGTCCGGACCCCGAATTTCATTTTCTGGAGCGGCGCGCTCAGGATTTGGGGCTGAGCGGTCATGCGGGAAGAGGCGGCCGCCCTCTGCATGGCTGCGCGCACGCGAATGCCGCTTGGGTTCCGGGCTCGGGGCGTGAGAAGGCGACGGCGACCCCAGGGGCCCACGTGTGTCCGGCGGCGCCCGCAAGGCCACGCAGGGGTGTGCAAGTCCACGCGTGCCGCTGGCCTGGGCACCCGCGGAGCAGCTGCGCACGAATGGGTCACGGAAGACCTAAGGAAGTTCTTCAGGTGCTGTGGCGATCCGTCAATCGGCCTTATGCGTTTTCTAGACTAGAATTTAAAATAGCTTAAAGGAATTCGTCGTCTTGCCTGCTTCGATGCGAGTTCTGAGTTTGAGGTCTGTAAGTCGCTTGGATGGTTAAAAAGTTCCTTGGCATTACTTCGCAGTTTTCAGAAAGCCTGTCAGTGGTTTCGGGAGGTTTAAGGGTGGGGCTGATGGCAGACGAGACCGAGTCAGCCTCGGGAAGGCCGGCTGGGTCTTCCACCACCGCATGGGTGGGAGGTGGGAAGGTGTTGCCACCTCCGTGTCGCCTCCAGATGGCATCTCGACATCAACCAAAAGTGGCTCCACAGCTTTAGGGAATTTGGAAAAATACAAATACGTAAAGTGAAGAATGTGTGCTGTTTGAGAAACCAGGAAATGCGTTACTGGTACGAATATGTAATGATTGAGGAAAAGTAACAACATGTAAGAACTAAAACACATGTTAATCACATTTTTAAAATTATTTTTAGATGGTCTAGTTAGTCCTTTGAAGTCAGTCATAACTAGGAGAGATGAAGATGGCCTATCTGAAGTAGAACTGAAAGTTGAAAAAGTAAAAGAAGAAGTTGTAAAAGAACCTCCTAGCATCCTGCATTCGTCTGATTTAACACGAGGTTTGCCTGTTGACTTCTGCACTATTAGTGTGTTACAAAGAGCGGGTTGAGTGATTTGAATACAGATTTTTCTGATATCTACTCTCTTGAACTAGAAAGTAATTGCAGAGATATTTATGGGCATATCATGAATTTTTCAACAGATGTTGAAACATCACCAAGTTTTCCATTTTTTAAGTCTCCTTTCTCTTATTTTGTACTATTTAGTAGTTAGAATAATTTCCATAAATTTCTATTTATGTAGTGCTATAGATCTTGTTTCATATTCACAGATCTTTGAACTATGCAAGTTCCAAGTTCTAATAGTACAAATCAGATAGGTTGGTTTGTACACATGGGTTCATTTCCAGAATATTACTGTCTGACTTAACAATTAAAATTTTTTATCAAGAGGTGGGAAAATGCCCATTTATAGAAATGATAACTCATTGTAAGTCATCTGAACGCTCCTCTTACAAGAAGTTTAACCAATAATGTTGTTACTTCTGCTCATTTAAAAATAAGGTGAAAATTATGGATTTATTTTAATTAATTTATTTATTTGAAGGGGAGAATAAGAGAGAGAGAGAGGTCTGCCTTCATCTGCTGATTCTCTCCCCAAAACAGTTGCAATGGCCAGGGCTGGGCCAGGCCCAAGCCACCATGAGCCCAGGTCTCTGTCTGGGCTGTCCGCTGGCTGTCACTCAGCCTGGAGGCTCTGCTGGGCTGTCCGCTGTCTGTCACTCAGCCTGGAGTCTCTGGGCTGTCCGCTGGCTGTCACTCAGCCTGGAGGCTCTGCTGGGCTGTCCGCTGTCTGTCACTCAGCCTGGAGTCTCTGGGCTGTCCGCTGTCTGTTACTCAGCCTGGAGTCTCTGGGCTGTCCGCTCTCTGTCACTCAGCCTGGAGGCTCTGCTGGGCTGTCCGCTGGCTGTCACTCAGCCTGGAGTCTTCACCCTGACAGGCTCTTCTCCCTTGGCTTCTGCATCGTCTTTTTTTTTTTTTTTTTTTTAAAGTCCCACTTTTTTTTTTTTTTTTTTTTTTGACAGGCAGAGTGGACAGTGAGAGAGACAGAGAGAAAGGTCTTCCTTTTGCCATTGGTTCACCCTCCAATGGCCGCCGCGGCTGGCGCGCTGATCCGATGGCAGGAGCCAGGTGCTTCTCCTGGTCTCCCATGGGGTGCAGGGCCCAAGGACTTGGGCCATCCTCCACTGCACTCCCTGGCCACAGCAGAGGGCTGGCCTGGAAGAGGGGCAACCGGGACAGAATCCGGCGCCCCGACCGGGACTAGAACCCGGTGTGCCGGCGCCACAAGGCGGAGGATTAGCCTAGTGAGCCGTGGCGCCGGCCTGCATCGTCTTGATGTTACCATTTGTTCTTTCTGAATCTACTTTGATTTTTTTACGCAGCATCTCCTAACAAATGCCTAAATCCTTCAATACCTCACTTCCTAATTTTGTATGTTTATATTAATCAGCAGTGGGTTCAGCAACATCCAGGAATGAATCCTTCACCCCAGTCAAAAATATGTTAAACATACTTTGGAAAGACTTATTCAGATATTCCTGAATTTATGAGTACTTAATTCAAAGAATGCATACTATCTGAGAAACTTGAAAATGCAAATAATGATTGAGAAATGTGAAATGCACAAGAATTGAAAATACATAAGTTACATTTTAAAATTAATTTTAGATTAGTTGTTTGAAATAGGTCATAACTAAGGAGGAATGGGCCATGACTTTTCTCTTTTTAACAATGTTTTTCCTCAGGCTTTCTTGCTCACTCTTGTAGTTTTATCTAACATGTATTTAGGATTTGTGCATCCAGAAGCCCTCTGAGCCCCAGAAACAAACCCGCTGCTGCCTGCGGACGTTGTTACCTGAACAGTCCACCCACTGGCACATCAGACCTACCGTACCAAAAACTAGATTTCATTTTCTTTTCCTCTACCTTTCTGCCAAAAGGATCTCCTCTCCTTTGGTAATGGAACCATCATTCCCAATCACATAAACTCCGAATCTTACAATCATCTTTAGTTTTACCCTTTACCCTGTGTTTCACATCCGCGTTGCTTCCTTTAATATTCTCCCCTCCTGTACCTTTCCGTTACTACTCTGTCACCTCCTGAAAGGCACGGAGAGCAATCATTCACTCCCTCAGAAACCGTCCAAGACCTGCCGCTGCCTGCAGAATGAAATCCAGACTAATGGCATAGAATTCATGCCTTCTGTGATCTGTATCACGTTTTTAACTGCATCGTTTTTCTACTCATTGCACCCCCTAAACATACAACATTCTAGCCAGCGTCAGGTAAGAGTGTGGCTGTACGTCTTATACCGCAGGCCTTTGTTCATGAAGTTACTTCAGTTTTTGAGGCCAGTTACCAAATCTCTGCTTCCTGAAATTCTGTGCATACCCCACGTCTCAGACAAGCGCCACTTCTCCAGTGACGGCAGCTTCCTCCACGGGCCTGCGTCGTAATACCTCTGCCTGGGGCACTCGTTTCATCCTGCCTTGTGTTGTAGTCAGAAATGACCATGTCACTCTCCCCCATAATCTCATCAATCTCATATTACTCTCTCTGAAAGTCTTTGAAGACAGCGAGCATAGCTTATATTTCTTCAGGATCTTTTACAAAGTGGAAACTTTTATAGAATTACGATGACTAATTGGGTAAACTTTGAGATGTGAAGTTACATATTGGAGGTTTTTCCCCAACCTTTTTGCCTTCTGAAGCACACTTGTCATTTTATGAACTTAATTGTGACAGTATTCCCCATCCAGGTCCTAGGAACCTCATAAGGAAACAAAAGTATAGATTTCTATGTAACCTGACCAAGTAAAAACGGGACTAGAGTACAAATTCATAAACACAGATTTCTAACAATTCAAATTTCCTTTCAGAAAGACATATCTCCATTCAGAGACAGCTTGCTGACCTAGAGAAATTAGCTTTCAGAGCTGAAGGGGATCTTGAATCTGCCAGCTCATTGAACTCCGATAATCTTGATGCAGGTATTTCTACATCTTTGGAATTTTTTACTCAGGAAATTGCTAACCTCCTATATGCAAAGGTGCTGCTGGAGCAAGTTACTTTACAACTGCAAGGAAAAATGCCAGTCTTCTCGATGTCTAGGTGCTGTGTACTCTGTAAGTTAGGAACTGCATTTTGTTAGGAGTAGCTAGAAAAGGATACCTTACACAGAGAGGTCAGTATTCTGTCCTGTGAAAGAAATTCCAGGGCAGGCAGGTTCGGAATGGCACGAGAGCTCCATGAAAGTGTTAACACCTCCAGGTGCCGCCTCTGCTCTGCTGTCCTGAAGCGCTTTGTTTCCACCGCCAAGGTCACCTCATGGCTTTTTGAAGTAGGCAGTACACATACAATATTTGTATGAATACTTGCATCTTGCTCTAGGTGAAAGATATTTGTTAGATTGAAAATGTTATTTATTATTTCTATATATTTTATTGCTTTAAACCTGAATTCAGGGTCTTACTTCATTTGTATGCCATATATCAGAATTTTTATTTTAGATGTATTACATTTCTAACTAAGTAAAGCCTTCTATGTTGATGAGCCACAATGTTTTCAGGAATGTATCGATAAATCATTAGGAGAGTACAGTGATTCTAACCACGCCTCCACGGGCAGACCAGCAACTATGCTGAATCCCGTCTATCCCGCCTTCCTCCCTCTGTCTTTCGCACTCCACGTTGCCCGTCTGTCGGTGCAGGGTGCCAGAGGAATCCCGCAGCACTTCCGGTGCTCTGCCCAGCTCCTGTCCTGTCCTTTCCCCTAGTCAAAGCAGAGTACTGCTCTCCGTGGCAGGCAGCCTCCCTGTTCTCAGTGGCAGCAGAGGCCTCAGTTAAGCAGAGATAGGAGAGTTCTGGGGTAAAGGTCACTGCTCAAGAGCTGCTTTGGTACTGTCACTGTCTCCTGGGTTGGGGATGATGGCTTCTCCCTAGAGTTAAGAAAAGCTGTATCTGAGAAGTGGGAGTGAGCACAGAGGAGCCCCTTTACAACTCTTGTATAGCTGAATCCAGTAGTTAGTCGGTTCTTTATTTCTCTTTAAGGAAACAAACAGGCTTGTCCGTTGTGCCCTAAGGAAAAATTCAGGGCTTGCAATAGCCATAAGCTTCGTCGCCATCTGCAGAATTTACACTGGAAAGTCTCAGTTGAATTTGAAGGTGGGTATTTTTGTGCTTCCAAAAGTGATGTCTGTGAAATTGAGTGTTTATTACTGTTGGGGCTAGTCACTATTACATAGCGTAGTATAGAAGTATGGATTCTTTTTTTTTTTTTAATGTATTTTTTTTTATTTTTTGACAGGCAGAGTGGACAGTGAGAGAGAGACAGAGAGAAAGGTCTTCCTTTGCCGTTGGTTCACCCTCCAATGGCCGCCGTGGCCGGGGCACCGCACTGATCCGATGGCAGGAGCCAGGTGCTTCTCCTGGTCTCCCATGGGGTGCAGTGTCCTAGCACTTGGGCCATCCTCCACTGCACTCCCTGGCCACAGCAGAGAGCTGACGTGGAAGAGGGGCAACCGGGGCAGAATCCGGCGCCCCGACCGGGACTAGAACCCGGTGTGCCGGCGCCGCAAGGCAGAGGATTAGCCTAGTGAGCCGCGGCACCGGCCGAAGTATAGATGCTAAAGCAGGAATAGGTTTGAAGCATCCAGATGGTGCCAGGCTGCCCTGGGCTTCACCTTTCCCAGTAGGACACGGAAGGATGGGGGGGATAAATTTGGTGCAATGGCACCTGATTTTCCTTGTTCCCCAATAAATGATGTAAGTGGAATCCGTGACCTGTTCATCCAGGGACAAGGTGCTCCCCACCTCAGATGCTTGACAAAATAAATTGATTAGGGTGGGGCCAGTGCCTTGGTGAAGGTTAATCCTTCTCCTGTGGCGCCAGCATCCCATATGGATGCTGGTTCTAGTCCTGGCTGCTCCACTTCCAATCCAGCTCCCTGCTATGGCCTGGGAAGGCAGTAGAAGATGGCCCAAGTGCTTGGGCTCCTGCACCCACATGCGAAACCCAGAAGAAGCTCCTGGCTTCGGATTGGCGCAGCTCTGGCCATTGCAGCCATCTGGGGAGTGAACCAGCAGATGGAAGACCTCTCTCTCTCTCTCTGTCTCTCCCTCTCACTGTCTGTAACTCTACCTCTCAAATAAATAAAATCTTTATAAAAAATTGATTAGGGTTACCTTATTCTTTGTTTCATTCTGTTCCTGGTTCTACTGATCACATTAAAGAGCTTTGTGGTGTTTGCTGAGTTTTCCTATTATTGTTAGTGTTTGTTATGAATAGTTAATGAATAAGACCTAGCAGCTCTGAGCTCATGGGATGAGGAAGATAAATAGTTTGGTTGAAGCCTTGCTTTGTTCTGATAGATTTAGGGAGTTTCAAACTATTTGTTGAGTTTCCATGCTATTGTATCTGTATTTAGATGATGTTAATGATTAAACCATTGTAGTGAATAAAAACGGAGAGCAGGAGGCATTTGGGCTCTCCCGTGCCATGTGCAGCATCCCTGACCCCTGCTTTGCCTCTCTCTGCTTTGTGTGTCTTACGACTCCTTCAGCGCCCGTGACTGCTTCACAGGTGTTGGCTGGTCCGTGACATAGCACCACTTCTAGCATTTCATTGTGAACATAAACAAAAATTTTTAAATAACTCCTAATCTGAAATACCCTTAAATATAAAATAAATTTAATACCCTCACTTTTAGTGGTTGTAATAAAAAACAATGCCACTCTGTAGGCAAAGATGTATGTGACACAAGAGTTTAGTTCAGCAAACTTGTTAAGCATCTGATCGATACTGGGTGCTCTGTTGTGTCCTGGGAATCCATGTTGCATACTGAAAACATTTTTCATAAGTTACACTTTTGCAGTAGAACAACTACTATTTTACATTTTTTTTTAAGATTTATTTATTTGAAAGGCAGAGTTATGGAGAGAGGGAGAGAAAGAGGGAAAAACAGATTTTCCATCCTGTGGTTCATTCCCCAAGAGTGAATCAGAGATGGGCCAGGCCGAAGCCAAGAGCCAGGAGCTTTTCTGGGTCTTCCATGTGGATGGCAAGGGCCCAAGTACGTGGGCCATCTTCCTCTGCTTTCCCAGGTGCATCAGCAGGGAGCTGTTTTGGAAGTAGAGCAGCCTGGACTCATACTGGTGCCCACCTGGGATGCTGGCACTGCAGGCAGTGACTTTATCCACTAAGCCACAATGATGGCCTCTTACATGTATTTTTGAAAGTACAGTAAGTATAGTAAAACCAGAAAATGAAATAATTGGTAGGAATATTAGAAAAGAGAAAATTACATCTCATTTTCTGCTGATGGCCTAAAAAAGTAAGAATGTTCAGAAACATGATAGAATATATGGTAATGTAAAGAAGAAACGATACACCAATTACAGTTGTGACAAAAATGACGGAATCTGGGCGGATGAACCTAACGAGGACTCATAGAGTGGAAGGACAGAACATGAAAGGAGAGATGACTGGAATCCGGAAAGGAATTAAAGTCACTAAGGCAATGAGAAGAAGTCAAGTAACCAGCCAACCCTGAGGGGCATCTACATTTTAGGGAGGAGAGAAGGAGAATCTGTAAAGAACAGGAGCGAGAGTGGGCAGAGAACCAAGACAGTGCCATACCACAGATGGAGAGGGAGCTGCGAAATGGGCAGGTGCAGCGTGAGGCAAGGCGATCGGGATGCCAGGTGCTGCGTCATCGCACTGATCCCGAGGAAGCCGAATGACTAGCCCAAGACAAGACAGAGGGCGGAGTCAGAGTTCGAGCCTGATTCCCTGTTTTTGATAAACATAGTGTATAGGCTAAAGCAAACTCATTGAAGTGATTTTGATACTATAAAAAGAACAGTCACAATTACTATAAAGTCAGATAAAATTTGGGGACCGGAGCAATGGCACAGTGTGTTAAAGCCCCAGCCTGCAGCACTGGCCTCCCATATGGGCGCCAGTTCAAGTCCTGGCTGCTCCACTTCCCATCTAGCTCTCTGCTTTGGCTTGGAAAAGCAGAAGATGAACCAAGTGCTTAGGCCCCTGCATCCACATGGGAGACCCACAAGAAGCTCCTGGCTTCAGATCAGTTCAATTCTGGCCATTTCAGCCATTTAGAGAGTGAACCAGTGGATGGAAGACCTGTCTCTCTAAATCTTTCAAATAAATATAATAAATATTTGAAAAAACTTTGTTGTGATAATTGAACATTTAATGAACAGTAATATTCTTTTTCTTAGGTCACAGGATGTGCATCTGTCACTTACCTTGTCTGCCTGTGAAACCAAACATTGTTGGAGAACAGGTGACTAGATATTAGACTTGTTAATTTTGAATTTATTCCTCTTTAAAGAAACTGTAGTTTTCACTTGCTTTAAAGGTAAAATGTGCATATTCGGCAATGTGGTTTACTTTAAAATTCTGTGAGTCCTTTCAGATTATCATAATAGGAAAAATATGGAATATATGGGAAAAAAGGGATTGCTGCATTGGACCTCTCATTATATGGTTTTTTAGTTTCAGATAAATTGCTTTTGTGTTCAACATTAACATTAACCCATTTACTAATTTTTGAATGGAGAATTTAAATAGAGGGTAATTTTTTTTCTTTTAAAGTAAATTTTGATCATGGAATAAGAAGTTCACTTTCTATGATTTATTAAATATCTTAGTATGTCTCAGTGTCACATTCATCTTTCTCTTGTCTTTTCATTTTGACAGAATCAAGAAACGCTGAAATCTTACTAGCTCTTAAAAATATGTGTTTTTACTGTTACAGTGATTTGGCCTGAGGACACACTGCACAAACTATATTGTTTTTTTAGTAACACTGATGTGAATACATACTAACTTAATATTTTAAATACTTAAAACTCCTGACACCTGGTTGTTTTGCTGTCTTTACCTGTCATCTATGTGCCTTTTCATCTATTGTATCTACATTATGGCAAGGCTCTAAAACAGTGTGACAGTGCACAGCCCTTCCCGGATTCATAGTGATGTCACATTCGTAGTTTGAATTTGGCCATGCTAGAATATTTATGGCAGAGAAATATGCAAATATGAAAAATCTGGGCATTTTCTTGGAGATCCAAGTGTTGAAAGTTTACCAGGCACTGGCCGGCGCCGCGGCTCACTAGGCTAATCCTCCGCCTAGCGGCGCCGGCACACCGGGTTCTAGTCCCGGTCGGGGCGCCGGATTCTGTCCCGGTTGCCCTCTTCCAGGCCAGCCCTCTGCTGTGGCCAGGGAGTGCAGTGGAGGATGGCCCAGGTGCTTGGGCCCTGCACCCCATGGGAGACCAGGAAAAGCACCTGGCTCCTGGCTCCTGCCATCGGGTCAGCGCGGTGCGCCGGCCGCAGCGCGCCGGCCGCGGCGGCCATTGGAGGGTGAACCAACGGCAAAGGAAGACCTTTCTCTCTGTCTCTCTCTCTCACTGTCCACTCTGCCTGTCAAAAAAAAAAAAAAGAAAGTTTACCAGGCACCACTATGAACATTTGGCATTTATCAGTACAGCTTACAGAAAGTGCATAGAATTATTTGCTAATTAGAATGATTGAGAAAAAATTAGGAAATTAAACTTGTGGCCTGTTGGAAAAATTAAAAGACATATATACATATAGATAAGGATGTTAAGATTCTTTCAAAGTCATATGACAAAATTATTATTTTGTATGACATTAAATCCTAGACACACTAACATACTGAAATCTGCAACCTTAAACCTCTATCTCCTTGTTATAGTAACTTACTTAAATTAACTACTCTGTTTGATAGATATCCAGTAAGATGGGCGCCCATTATCATTGTATCATTTGTTCAGCAACAATCACCCGGAGAACTGATATGCTAGGACATGTTAGGCGCCATGTGAATAAAGGAGAGACGAAGTCCAGATATATTGCTGGTAAGCTGAATAATCTCATTAATGTGTTAATAATAGATCCTTAAACAGTGCTTCAGTTATTCTTTTTTTTAAAGATTTATTTATTTATTTGAAAGTCAGAGCTACACAGAGAGAGGAGAGACAGAGAGAGAGAGAGAGGTCTTCCATGTGATGGTTCACTCCCCAATTGGCCACAACTGCCGGAACTGTGCTGATAGGAGCCAGGAGCCAGGAGCTACTTTCAGGTCTCCCATGTGGGTGCAGGGGCCCAAGGACTTGGGCCATCTTCTACTGCTTTCCCAGGCCATAGCAGAGAGCTGGATTGGAAGAGGAGCAGCCAGGTCTCAAACCAGCGCCCATATAGAAAGCAGCAGGTTTGGGCCCCTGCCATCCATGTGAGAGACCTGAATGGAGTTCCTGGCTCCTGGCTTTGGCCTGGCCCAGCGCTGACTGTTCCAACCATCTGGGGAGTGAACCAGCAGATAGAAGATCTCTCTCTCTCTCTCTCTGTCTCTCCCACTCTGTGACTCTGCCTTTAAAATAAAGTAAATAAATAAATAAAGCATTTAAAAAAATAAAGAAATACAAAAAGAACGGTCATTGAGGCTGGCATTTTGGCTTAGTGGGTCAAGCCAGCATCCCATATGGGCACCGGTTTGAGACCCGGCTGTTCCACTTCTGATCCAGCTCCCTGCTAATGCACCTGGGAAAGCAGTAGAAAATGGCCCAAGTGCTTGGGTCCCTGCACCCACGAGGGAGACCCAGATGGAGCTCCAGGCTATTGCCTTTGGTCTGGCACAGCTCCAGCCATTGCAGCCATTTGAGAAGTGAACCAACAGATGGAAGATTGGTCTTTGAAACCCTCTCCCTTTCTTTCCCTCTCTCTGTAACTCTGCCTTTCAAATAAATAAAAAATAAAACTTCAAATACAGTTACTGAAATAATTTTCTGTAAAGTTTAATTTTCCCACAGATCCTTGTTTGATCTGATATGTCAGATATGTGACATGCCTTTTGCAGGCAATAAAAGAATATATAACACCATTCTAGGAAAATTTACTATTATTTGGCATTGTAGAAAGAGAAATATGATTGTCATTTAGTTAACATTCTGATAACAATGTTATCAAGAAATTGAAACATAAAGAATCTCAGTTCTTCTTCCCTACACATTATATATATCATTTATTGAATATTTAAAACCATGTGCATTTATATACACATCAATATTTCATTTGAGTTTATAGGTGAATGATTCTAATCGAATGTATATGTAAAATCATTTTTGCATTACTTTATAGCCATTTAAATGTAATTTGCGATTTAAAAATCATAGTTATGAGATTGTGTTCTGAAGTCCAGCATGTTTGGGAAACACTAGCTAGCGTCTCTCAGCCAAGCTGGCTAACAGAGTGCAGCCTCATGGAGGTGCTCATTTGCTGACAGCACCACCCTGGCAGCCCGCCCCTACAGACAAACAGAATTTGATGAATCTTGAGGGTGTTTCAGGATTTTGTGTTATCTTGAGGTGATGTTGTTAAGCATCATACAGATGCATTGATGTGGTCGGCAGTAAGACTTTAAGTTAATAAGCTTGCTTTCTTTCAATACTTAACTGGGTGGTGCTGTTTTCCAGAGACATCACTGAGTAAATCAACTTTTTGGTTTGGTTTTGTCTTTTTACATCTGCCCAACTGTTTGCATTAACACAAAGTAATATATTTTACAAAATGTTTATTATCTTAGAAGTTTAGAATTATTTTGTATATCCCTGTAAATCTTTTTTTTCCTCCCATCTTAGCTTCTTCTACTAAACCATCTAATGAAATTTTGAAAGAGGCAGACACGGATGTACAAGTTTTTCCTAACTATTCTATACCTCAGAAAACAGATTCCTACTTTAATCCCAAAATGAAACTAAATCGGTAAGATAAATTGAAGATAGGGTTATGGGAGCATTGCATTCATATCACCATAAATATACTTTCTTTTCACCTTTATGTCCAAATATATTGAAGTTTAAAACTAGATGCAGAATGAAATTATCTACTTGAACATTTTTTTCAGAATGATTGTTTCCTTTTTTTTTTTTCCTACCAAGCCATTTTCTTTATCGGAATAAAATAGGCCTAACTTTTTATAATTACTCAACAGGCTGGTACTTTTGCAGACATACTTTGTTTATAAATAAGTAAATACTTAACTACTAGAACCAATTAGATTCATAGTTTAATTTCATAAATTTTCAGTAATTATACTGTTACATTGAGAATATTATTAGATTTTTCTTTCAAAAATATATATAGTAACTAGGAACCTCAGTTCTTATTGTTCTGAAATAAAATCTACAATGATATAATAAAGTTATTTCAGATTATTACTATTTTGTAGGCAGCTAGTATTCTGCACATTAGCTGCTTTGGCTGAGGAACGAAAACCACTGGACTGTCTAGATGCCTTTGGAGCCACTGGTAAGCTGGAAGCTCTTTTGGAACCCTGTTTTATGTATAAGACGTATACAGTATCTTTACTTAGAAATTTTACGTGGGTTTGGTTTTGTTTTTTGTTTTTGTAAATCTCTCTTTAATCAGTTCGTGTGTGTGTGTGTCTGTGTGTCATGTTGATGTACCAATCTTTTGACCTGTGCCTTCCCACCACTTAGATTTTTGCTGGTTGTGTTGCCATGGCTCATATAGCATGTTTCTGTCACTTTTTTATCAATTGAGAGTTTCGTTACATTGAGATAGGAATTTTTTTTTTTAAGAATACTAGTTTACTGCAGTCACAAAGCACCTGGTATCTGTCATTTTTGTGCTCTGATAGTTTGTAGTGACCTAGCCTTGAAGCAGTGGAGTGAAGGAAATTTTAAAGGTTGAGAACACTTCCGAGTGGAGCTACCAGTAGAGAAAAGATAATGGAAACAATTGAGAATCTCTAAGAAGCTGCTTGCACCAGCTCAAGTCTGTCTGCATGAATTTGTAGAGTGCGTGCTGAGAAGCTTGTAGCCGGGAATCGAGCAGGAGTGAGCTCCCCGAGGCGTCTCCTCGGGCACGGCTGCGACCAGCAGGGCCTGGGGAGCTGAGCTGCCGTGTCCAAGCCCGGCTTCCTCACGTGGCAGTTGGGGACCACAGCAAATTGTGCCTCACTCTGCTCGGGTGTCAAGGGGGAGAAGGGACCCAAGTGCTTACCTTATTGTGCAGTTTTAAGCAAATTAATACATGTGAAGTAATTAGGACAATACACGGTATGTAAGTGCTGTGAACGTAGTAGATACTCTCATTTTTCTAATGTTACCACATGGGAAACCTCTACTGAATGACCAGCTTCTGGCTGCAGCCTGGGCCAGCCTCAGCTGTTACATAAATGTGTTGAGTAAGCAGATGGAAGATCTCTCTCTCTGTCTCTGCATCTTTCTGTTGCTCTCCCTGTATGTTTCTCTGCCTTTCAAATAAATTTTTAAGAGAGTTATGAAAATGTTAAATTTTGAAGCAGTTTTACAATTTATAAATTTTACAATTTATAAACTTTTGTTACTATTATACTGGATTTTTAAAGATTGTTACAGTTTAAAAACTCGCCTTTCTCTCCCTTTCTCCTAAGGGATAATGGGATTGCAATGGGCAAAACATCTTGGAAACGCAATCAAAGTCACAATTAACGACTTGAATGAAAACTCTGCGACACTGATTCAGGAGAACTGCCATCTAAACAAATTGAGAGTGAAGGGGCACAGTGAGGAAGAGGAAGAGAGAGAGGGTCTTCCTGAAGGAGAGGAAAACCTCGGTAACATTACGGTCACCAAGATGGATGCCAACGTACTGATGCATTTGAGGTCTTTTGATTTCATGTAAGTGAAAAAGATTTCCTAAGTCAGTTTCTAAACTGAACTGGAATTCTGGGGTGGGGGTAATTAAAAATTAAGATAGTTTGTTGTTCATTAAACTAATATAGTTTTTTTATTCTGGCTAAGGTATGTAGTGAGAAAAATTTGTAGCATTTGGAATAAAATGCTTGGGCATGATACTTTGCCTCTAAGCCTGATTTATGTTTACATGTCTGGTGTGCCATGTGATCATTTTGTTACTTTACAAACAGAATTACAGGGGCAGGTGTTTAGCACAGCATTTAAGACACTGCTTGGGATACCCTTATGTCATATCACAGTGCCTGGTTCAGTTCCCACTCCACTTGCAAGTCCAGCTTTCTGCTAATGCACCTCTGAGAGGCAACAAGGGATGGCTCATGCAGCTGGGTCCCTGCCACCCAAGTGGGAGTTCCTGACCCCTTGTTCAGCCCTGACTATGGGCAGGCATTCAAGAGGTGAACCAGCGGAATGGCAGGTTTCTGTTTCTCCCGCGTTCTCTCTGCCTTTCAAATAAAAACAAAGTTGACAATTCAATGTTTTTGTTTTTTTTTTAAAGATTTATTTATTTTACTTGAAAGTCAGAGTTACACAGAGAGAGGAGAGGCAGAGAGAGAGAGGGAGCAGTCTTCCATCCAATGGTTCACTCCCCAATTGGTTGCAACAGCCGGAGCTGCACCAATCCAAAGCCAGGAGCCAGGAGCTTCCTCCGGGTCTCCCACATGGTGCAGGGGTCCAAGGACTTGGGCCATCTTCTACTGCTTTCCCAGGCCATTGCAGAGAGCTGGACAGGAAGTGGAGCAGCTGGGTCTCGAACCAGTGCCCATATGGGATGCCTGCACTTGAGGCCAGAGCATTAACCCGCTGCGCCACAGCGCCGGCCCTTACAATTCAGTGTTAAAATCATAATTACTCACTTACAATAGATTTGCAAAGTACTGTTGAATTCATGGAATTTTATCATTAGAAATAATTACAATGGTATGGTTTTGATTATTGATATGAGTTTAAATATGTCTCTATTGTTTCTAATTTTAGACACCTAGACCCTTTTGGAACATCTGTGAACTATCTGGATTCCGCATTCAGAAATGTAAGAAACCTTGGCATAGTGTCAGTGACCTCTACTGACATCAGTTCTTTGTATGCCAAGGCACAGCACGTTGCGCGACGGCACTATGGCTGTAACATCGTCCGGACAGAGTACTACAAGGAGCTGGCTGCCAGAGTAGTTGTGGCTGCAGTGGCCAGGTACCACACTGCCAGTTGTGCACCTGTGTGTGGGCACACGACAGGAAAGGAAGTGCTTTTCTCAGTTTTCAAAACACGCATGAAACATACATCTTAGTTTTCATTTCTATAATCCTGATTCGTTTTCAGTGTGCGTTCAGTTAGAATGTTTTTTAAAAGCTTATGCCTGAAATGCTGTTTGCTCTCCAGATATTAAAATCATTGAGGGAGTAAAAAGAAAAAAATGAAAGTTAATTTAAAATCAGTTTATTTCAACAACATAGGATAAAGGATAGTAATATGAAAAAGAAGAGCAAAAATTGTTTTTATAATTAGAACCAGTCATTTGTTTAATATGTAGTTCATCTTCCTTATATAATTTGAACAAATTGATGGCTTATAAATTTGACTCTGTGGTATGCTCGTTCAAAACAAGAAGTTCTGTTTCTTATCAGGATTTTTTAAAAGTTGAAAAAAGGAAGACTTTTTGAGCATGTATTTCATATAGGACATTATACTAAAAGAATTACATATTAAAATATAAATGGACATCGAGAGTGCAGCTGGTGCATGGTCATCAGCTAGCTCACTCACTAGCCCTAACACTCGTTTCCAGCATTTTGCTTAAAGTTCCAGTTCCAGTAAATAGACCTCAGGATTATTCCTAATTAACTGAAAACTCTGATGTTCAGTTTGTATGTGCCAAGAACCTGCTGCACATACTTACGATGTCCATAACATTTTTTTTTTTTTTTTTTCTATTTTGACAGGCAGAGTGGACAGTGAGAGAGAGAGACAGAGAGAAAGGTCTTCCTTTGCCGCTGGTTCACCCTCCAATGGCCGCCGCTGCAGCCGGCGCACCGCGCTGATCCTGGCAGGAGCCAGGAGCCAGGTGCTTTTCCTGGTCTCCCATGGGGTGCAGGGCCCAAGCACCTGGGCCATCCTCCACTGCACTCCCTGGCCATAGCAGAGAGCTGGCCTGGAAGAGGGGCAACCGGGACAGAATCCGGCGCCCCAACCGGGACTAGAACCCGGTGTGCCGGCGCCGCAAGGTGGAGGATTAGCCTATTGAGCCACGGCGCCGGCTACGATGTCCATAACAGCACATTCAAATTAACATATAGAAACTAAATTCAGTGTATCACCACAGGAGAAGCTAAGTACAGAAGTGCTGTGTCTGCTAAAACTCATGCCACAAAGTCTGTACAATGCCTGGGGAAAGGATTTTGACTATCTGATTTCACTAGTATAATATCTTATATATAGCCAGTACTCAGTAAGTATGAATTGTTTGGAACACAATTTACATAGAAAAACAAAGAAGGAAGAAGGTGGTGATGACAGCACTGAAAACCAGAAATTGTGTTCCTGTTGAGAGAGTGTGTTAAACAGCAAAGATCCAGGGGCCGAAGATCCTGCTAAGCATCCTTTCTTCCCTGTGTCTCAGTTTGCGTAAAAGTTATAGTAATGATCATTTAAAAGCACCAGTACAAAGAACTGAGTCTTCCTTGAGCTCCTGTAACTTTGAGTTCCATAATTTACTGTCCAGGTTGGTATTGTCAGAATAAGCCAAACAAAGGAAAATGATAAGCCCCAATATAACTTTAAAACTTTTTTATAGAGCGGCAGCCCGATGCAACAAAGGCGTCGAAGTCCTGTTTGCAGTGGCGCTTGAGCACTTTGTGTTGGTGGTCGTGAGAGTTTTGAGGGGGCCAACCTCCGCAGATGCGGCAGCCAAGAAGATCCAGTACCTGATCCACTGTCAGTGGTGTGAAGAGAGAATTTTTCAGAAGGATGGTAACATGGTGGAAGGTAAATTCAACTTGCTTTTCACTGTGTATTTAATTTATCCTTAAGTCTGTAATGCATAAGCCTTTATCTTATTCCTAATTATGCGTATTATTGTCCTTTGATTTTGAAGATTACAGTGCTAAATTTGTTATTTCCTATACTGGATTTCCTTTCATCAACAGGACATACGTGTGAGTTTATTAAAGTTATTCATTCACGCTGTGCAAGTTACCCTCTCTTGCCCTGCCTCCAGTTGAAACATCTAGAAATAACTTAGCTTCCTCTGTCAACTAATTTTAGGAATATAAGTCGGATTACCTCTTTGTCCAGGTTGCTATCAATGATTAATTTGTGTTTCTGGCTGAGTATAAAAGGCATCTGTTAGGACATTCATCCAATAAACATTAATTGAGTCTCTACTATATGCCAGGCAAGAGGATACAAGAAACAAACTGTAGCTTATGCCCTCATAATGTTGTTTCTATTTGCTTTTCTGGGACACAGAAAAAGATGCCTGTTGTTTTCTTCTGGGTTCTTGGAATTTTTATATGAATTTTGAAAACGTTTAGCTCTTTCTATATGAGTTGCATATATTTTTTCTTGTTTTGTTACTTGTGTTTGTGTCTGTACTTTTTAGTTTGTCACGCAGGTCTTCATTGTTACTGCTATCAAGTGAATTGAACTTTTCCGTGCTCTGGACTGCTCAGTAGAGCTTTCCTATTCCTATTTATTCCAGCTCTTATTGCACTGTCCTCCTCCACTGATTTGAGAACACCTCCTTATGTTACACTGAAGGTCTGCGTGCATTGAGTTTGTTCTTGGACTTCAGCATCTTTTCCTGCGGTCGGGTGTCTTCATGCACCTCTGACACACTGTTAGTGTTGTGACTCATTAAGGCAGTCCTCTCTGAAGCTCCTTGTTTTGTCAAGGTGTTCCTACTATAGGATCCTTTTTTTTCCCTGAGAAAAAAAGTAAACCCACTTGATATTTTATTTTGGTCACACTAAATTGAGGACGATAGTTGTGCTTTTGAAGCTTCTCACAGACATACAGGAAGTTCTGCTTGTCATTTGTTCAGGTTCTTTAGTGCAGAGTAAACTGACGGTGGCAACAGAAATGCTTCCTGTGACTTTAGCTCCCTTGAGTGCTCTCTGATCTAGGCATGATAATGGATTTTTATCTGAGATACCCATCATTGACCATGTTGATAAAGTATCCTTCATGCCCACTTTTGTAATATTCTATCAAAATGGTGAATTTTGATAATATGCATTTGGAGTGTGGAGATAACTACATGGTTTTTCATATAGGCTTATTAATCTGATTAATTGTACTGAAGTTTTAAATATTGAACCATATTGGAGTTCCTAGAGTAAACTACTTTGTCAGGAAATATTCTCTTAATATGTCACTGGATTCTAATTTTCTTAAGGGTATTTTTTGTTTCAGTATTCATAATAGTATATCATTTTCCTTTTTTAATTTTTAAAGATGTTTTTCTTCCATTTTATTTGAAAGGCAGAGAGACAGAGGGATAGAGAGCTTCCATCTGCTGATTCACTCCCCAAATGCCTGCAATACCCAGTGCTGGACCAGGCAGAAGCCATGAGCCTATAACTCCATTCAGGTCTCCCATGTGGGCGGCAGGGACCCAAGTACTTGACCCATCACCTGCTGGTTCCCTTGGTGTATAGTAGCGGGAATGTTGGATCAGAAGCTGAGTGGCCTCTGGGAACCGGGATGCAGGTCCCGAGAAGTGACCTAATTGCTGCACCAAATGCCTGCCCCTATACTTTTTGTTTTAGCATCATTTCGGCTGGACTTTGATATCAGTTTATGTTCCTTTGAATAAGAATGTAGAACTTTTCCATTTTGTTCAATTCTTGAACAATTTAACTCTTGCCAGAATTGTTTCTTAAAGGTTTGGCAGTTTTCACCTAGCATTTCTATTTATTTACAAAAGCTGATTTTTTTCTTAAGATATACTTATTTATTTGAAAGGCAGAAATAGAAAGAGAGAGAGCTTCCATCTGCTGGTTTACTCCCTAAATGGCCACAGCACCCAGGGCTGGATGAGGCCAAAGCCAGGAGCCAGGAGCTTCTTCCAGGGCTCCCATGTGGGTGCAGGGGCCCAATGACTTGGGTCATCCTCTATTTTTCCAAGCGCATTAGCAGGGAGCTGGATAAGAAGTGGAGCAGGGACACGAACTGGCACCCATATGGAATGTCAGCACTGTAGGCCCTAGCTCTCACTGGCTGTGCCACAGTGGTAGCTCCAAGCCAAGGAAGTGGGTTCTTTTTTTTTTCTTTTTTTTTTTTTTAAGATTTATTTATTTATTTATTTGAAGGTCAGAGTTACACAGAGATAGGAGAGGTAGAGAGGCGGCGGGGAGGTCTTCCATCTGCTGGTTCATTCCCCAATTGGCTACAACGGCTGGAGCTGAACCGATCCGAAGCCAGGAGCCAGGAGCTTCTTCTGGGTCTCCCACCCAGGTGCAGGGGCCCAAGGACCTGAGCCATCTTCTACTGTTTTCCCAGGCCACAGCAGAGAGCTGGATTGGAAGTGGAGCAGCCAGGTCTTGAACTGGCCCATATGGGATGCCAGCACTTCAGGCCAGGGCGTTAACCTGCTGCACCATAGTGCCAGCCCCAGGGAATTGGGCATCTTAACACCTGGGATAAACCTCTGCCCCAGCAGTTAGTTTTACATACTCAGAGCAACATCCTAATTTTTTTTAAGACAATAGAATTAAAAGAGTTACAGAATCTACTTTCCTTTTTAAAATACAAACTTTGACCAGGGCCAGCACTGTGGTGTAGCAGGCAAAGCCGCCACCTGCAACGCCAGCATCCCATCTGGGCGCTGGCTGGTGTCCCTGACGTCCCACTTCAGTCCTGCTCTCTGCTAACGGCCTGAGAAAAGCAGCAGCAGATGGCCCAAGTGTGTGAGCCCTGCCACCCATACGGGAGACCTGGATGAAGCTCTTGGCTCCTGGGTCCAGAGTGGAATCGACCAGTCTTCTATCAGCTTTCAGGGAGCCACAGTGAGGACAGAGACTGGAAGGTCTTACCGTTCATGCAGATGTTTACTTAATCTCTCGCTTCCCATTCATCTCCTCACCTTCAACTATTACTAAAGCTCTGGTTCCAGATCTCCAATGGTTCAAGCTCACCAAAGCCCACCAGCTTCATCTTTGGGGGGTGGGGAAGCCACAGAAACCCAGTTTTGAGTAGGGGAGAGGATCTGAGAGTCTTAATCGAACCCTTTGAAAAAGTAAAGTTTGACCAGGCCTCTTTTTTCACAGTTGTGTCATACACTCATCTTTTTTTTTTAAAAAGACTATTTTATCTTTTTTTTTTTTTTTTTGACAGGCAGAGTGGACAGTGAAAGAGAGAGAGAGAGACAGAGAGAAAGGTCTTCCTTTGCCGTTGGTTCACCCTCCAATGGCCACCGTGGCCGGCGCACCGCGCTGATCCGATGGCAGGAGCCAGGTACTTCTCCTGGTCTCCCATGGGGTGCAGGGCCCAAGCACTTGGGCCATCCTCCACTGCACTCCCGGGCCACAGCAGAGAGCTGGCCTGGAAGAGGGGCAACCGGGACAGAATCCGGCGCCCCGACCGGGACTAGAACCCGGTGTGCTGGCGCTGCAAGGCGGAGGATTAGCCTAGTGAGCCGCGGTGCCGGCCTCTCATCCTTGTGCTTAAATTTCTGTTGCTTGCTTTAAGAGATGGCAGGGAGAAATTATCTGTTTACCTTTTTGTTTGACTCAAAGCTCAGGGTCGGCTGTTTGGTGCCATGACGCTGCTGGGGACACCTCTTCCCACATCTGAGTGCCTGGGTTCAGGGTCTGACCGCAGTTCTGATTCCAGCATTCTGCTGTGCACACCCTGAGAGGCAGCAGTGGTGCTCAGAAGGTTGGGTCCCCGCCACCACATGGGAGACCTGGATGGAGTTTCTGGCTTCCAGCTTCAGCCTGCCCCAGCCCTTGCTGTGGTGAGCATTTGGGGAGTGAACCAACAGATGGAAGATCTCTGTGTCTCTCTGTGTCTGTCTTTCTCGATCTCTCTTTCTCTCTCTCTCTCTCTCTCTCCCTCAGTGTGTGTGTGTGTGTGTGTGTGTGTATGCCTTTCAAATAAAATAAAATTTATAAATAGAAGCCCAGAGTTTTTAAAATTCTTCATCTGGCATTGCACCTACAGCATATATGGCAACAACATGGAAATACTAGTTTTCTTTCTTTTTCACCCCTACATTTTTTGCTGTCGATAACTTGAAATGATAGCCTGGACTTTTCAGAAAGGAAGCTTGCTAATGCTGACCTAGATCTGAACAATCTTAGCAAAGAGGCTTGGGAAAAGTCGTACATTTTGTAAAGTACATCAAGATACAAACTGATTAATACAGATTCCTGTGTGTGCTGTCTGCCTGTGCTTAAGTGAGTGTAACTCACAGAAGAAAGTGTGAATGGCTGTCCTGCTGCCTAGGAGCACTCATGGTTTAGTTATGTAATGCTACAAAAGACTTGTTGAAGATACGCATGTCCGTCTCAACAAATCCATGTCAGTGATAAGCACACCCTTCCATTAAGGCTTAGAGTTAAGAGACACTGGAAAGGAGACCTTGGAAAGGAGACCTTGGAATGAGCAGCGAAGGACACGTCAAATGTATCTGAACTGCAGTCTCACCAGTGTGCCATGGAACTGAGTTGCATTGAGTAGCTGAGTGATATTATCAGACAGCTAGCTTCCCTCCACCATAATCCTGGCTTCTGGGTATATCCAGGACTGATTGATCAGATCAGGCCATTCCGAGAAAAGTGATCAACCCGGGAATGGCCTGGAGCTGGGGCACTTAGTTGGAGAAAATCTAATTTAAAATGACTGTTCTGGTCCTTGAGTAGACTTACAGGTCCCGTGCTAGACTGTTGCCCCATGCTGCTGAGACGACATTCCACATACACACTGAGAGCAGCTACTCCCCAGTGTCCCTGTGGTTCTCTCAGACCTCTTGACCCTTTCCATACCACATTAGATACTTGTAGCCCAGGCTTTAGGGAATGAAAAAGAAATCAGGCTTTGAGAGTAAACTACTTTTATTATATGAGGAGTAATTACTTTTGTTTCCAATTGCAGAAAAGCCAACTTAAGAGAAATGTCTACATTTTCATTGGGATGTTGGTTTGCATGGGTGTATGTGTTTGTCAAATTTCATCAACCTTGTCATGCAAAATTTATGCATTTTATTAGACAAATTGATCCCAGTTAATTTTAAATTATGTATATCTTGTGGACTTTAAGACTTCCCTTACACTGTTTCATATAGTCCACTAAATAAAGCCACAGTCACTTATGCCTCTACTAAGCCATCTGACGTGGATTCCACAACTTCTCTTAAGCTTTAATCCTCTGATACCTACTCTGATACCTACTTCAGACAAAGAATTAAAATTTTAAAATATGTTAAATACTAAGCAGAATACCTGGCACATAGTAGATCCTCATTACATAGTAGCTGTAAATTATTATTAATAATCACTGCTGTTTACATTAGTCATTTCTCCTTTGCTTTCTTTTTATCATCTTTTTACAGAAAACCCATATAGACAGCTGCCCTGTAACTGTCATGGAAGCATGCCAGGAAAGACAGCAATAGAACTTGGACCCCTGTGGTATGTTCATAAGAACATATTCAAAATTGATTTAAATCAAATCTGAATCAAAATTATTGGTTGCCAAGTTTTGATTATATGTAGTAAATGATAAATTTAGATTCAATTTTTTCAGTCTGGGCAAATAATTATAACTCCTTTCACCCTGTGTTCTGAGGCGTTTTCTGCTTTCAGATTTTTTTCCTGCTGTGTTTCTGCCTGTTCTTGACAAAGCAGAGGGAGTAGGTGACGAGAAGCTTGGGCGGTCTGCAAAGTAGATAATTCAGGGGAAGGCACTTGGCACAGCAGTTGGACACCGTCTGGGATGCCTGCATGCCATGGAAGAGTGCCTGCCTGGGTTTGGGTCCCAACTCTGCTCCCAATTCAGACTTTCTGCTAATGAGTACCCTGGGGCACAGCAGGTGATAGCTTAAGGATTTGAGTCTCTGCCACCCATGTGGAAGACCTGGGTCCTGGATCCTGGCTTTGGTCTGGCCCAAATCAAAATTGCATTTGAAGAGTGAACCAGAAGATGGAAACTCTCTCTGTCTTTATGTGTCTTTCTTTCTCCTTTCTCTCAAATAAATACATTTTTAAAATCAATAATTCATTTCTGAATAGGAAGAATGAGGCGTTTTCAATTGATCATTATAGGACTAGTATGTGATTGCAAAATGGTCCTAACTTCTTTTAGAAAAGTCAAATAATATAAAAGGTCTTAGAAAAATTAGTGAGAATGGCATATAAAAGTATCTACCTGTTTTAGGTGAAACTGTTTAGAGGGGTCAACGCTGTGATACAGCAGGTTAAGCCTCCTGTGACACTGGCACCCCATCTGGGCACTGCTTCCAGACCCAGCTGCTCCATTTCTGATCCAGCTCCTTGCTAATGCGTCTGGGAAAGCAGTGGAGGATAGCCCAAGTGCCTGGTTCCCTGCACCCATGTGGGAGACCCAGAGGAAGCTCCAGGCTCATGGCTTCGGCATGGCCCAGCCCCAGCCGTTGCAGCCATTTGAGGAGTGGACCAGAGGATGGAAGATCTCTCCCTCTTTCCTCTGTCTCTCTCTCTCTCTCTCTCTCTCTCTCTCTCTCTGTGTCACTGCTCTCTCTACCTTTCAAATGAATAAAAATTGGATATTTTTTTAAAAAGAACTGTTTAGAAAAATATAACTGCAAGTATTTAATGTTTATGTACTTTTGTATCTGGGTAAGAAGTTACGCTATTTTTAATGCCTTAAATTTGAACTGTTTTCCATCAGAATCCTTACATTAAGTTTGTTTGTCACTAGAGATCCTTGTAGAAATTTGAGATTCCTAAGAACATTGTGACAAGAATCATTGCAAATTTCTTCCTCGTCATTTTACAAGGTCAAGGCTTAGCTATCTACTAAACCTAAAAATTGACCCAAATGGTAAATATGTTTGTGCTGATGCCCATTATTTTATCATCATCCTGTATAAATACTTTTAGATTAAGAATGACCCAGCCAACTACCTTCAGTCCTCTTACCTGTGTCATCTGCTACTTGGTGACCCTATACACTGGTCTCAGAACTGGGGGTACTAGGAGTAACAGGTTACTGGATCCAGAAAGATCTCTGGCTCAACTCCATCAATTTAAAAATGAGAAAATTACAGCACAGTGTTTTAAATCCTTGTTAAAACTGACAAAATATATATATAACCTCATGAATATTAAATTTATAATCATATATTTTTATATCTTAAATCTATATTTAAAATAGTATGTATTTTGTAAGTAAATAGATGTGTATATATTTTTCTTAGCACAGGTCCAGAATTTGGGGTTTCTGACTCGCAGGACTGAGTCCGTGCCTCCTGATTTCCTCGCGCACAGCCATCGATCATGTCTCCTCTATCGGGAATGCCTTCCTCCTCTCCCCACCCCCATTCTGATTACACTTCCCTTGGAAGTCTCTCCTGAGTGGTTCAACCCAAAATAATTTCTAAACTGCCTCTAGCATATATTGTATTGACCACTCATTGGACACTTTAAAATCATATACCCTCTCATATTTATTTGCTAGCCCTGATAATAGCTATTACTTATCAAGGATATATTCTTGTACTAGGCTTTAGACATATCCTGTCTCATTTAATTCCCTTGAAGATCCATGAAAGTTTTATTTCCCATTCCGTGATGAGTACAAGTTTTAAAAGTACCGATCACTCAGGACTACACAAGTCGTGAGGGTGGGGCTGGGCTGGGATCCAGGTTTATCCAACTTGGAACTTCCTATTTTGTACATTACACCTGCGCTTCTTGGTTTAAATGGAAAGCATGTCAGGTTCATCCCAACGTGTAGCTCTCCCGTGTATCTCCTCCCACTTCATGCCACACCATGTACACACTGGTGTTAGCATTCACAGTTACGTTGTGAGAAACCTCTGCATTATACTGCATTCCTGTCTAGGTCCTGTTTAGCTCTCTAGGCTTTTCTACAGCCAGTAGTGTATTTTACATTTTGATGTATTCTCCAGCTCCCCCACCACAGTGCACCACAGGACTGTGAACTTGATGGAGGCTCGGTACCCGTGTCGATTTAATGTGAATGAAATTTCCTTGACTGATCCTACTTATTTAGAGAACGGACATGATAAAAGGAGTGGACAAACAGAACTAACCTGCTTCAAATTAAATCTTAAAATCTTTTTGAATTTCAGTCTTACTCTATTCTATAATTAATTCTGTATCTTAGTTTTGGCTAAATAATGGCGACTTTTTTTTTTTTTTTTTTAAAGAAAAATAAACATTTCCCAAGCCTGTTTTTCTAAAATGTCTGATTTTCTTTTCCAGGTCAAGCTCCCTTTTCAACACTGGGTTCCTGAGAAGAATGCTGTTTGAATGTCTTCAGCATGGTCTGGATGACGTTCAGGCCCTGCTGAAGACGCTGATCTTTGAGTCAGAGTGCACTCCTCAGAGTCAGTGCTCGGCCCCCGCGCCCTCCAGTCTCAGCAAGCAAGGTGCCTGTTAAACCAGCTCACAAACTGCGCGCTGAAATTACTGTGTCTTCTTATCTTTATTTGATGTTATAGTCAAAAGCAATATAATTACAAAGTCTAATCATAATCTGGTTAACCTTTTACAAAAAAAGATTTATTTATTTACTTGAGAGGCAGTTACAGACGGAGGGAGGGAGAGAAAAAGAAAGAAAAAGGTCTTCCACCTGCTGGTTCACTCCCCAAGTGGCCACAACGGCCAGAGCTGGGCCGATCTGAAGCCAGCAGCCAGGAGCTTCTTCCTGGTCTCCCATGCGGGTGCAGGGGCCCAAGAACCTAGGCCATCTTCTACTGCTTTCTCAGGCCATCAGCAGGGAGCTGGATGGGAAGTGGAGTGGAGCAGCCGGCACTCAAACCAGCTCCCGTATGGATTCCGGCGCTGCAGGTGGATGTTTAACCTCCTACACCACAGCACTGGTTCTGTTAACCTTCTTTTTTTTTTTTTTTTTTTTTTTTTAATTTGACAGATAGAGTTACAGACAGTGAGAGGGAGAGACAGAGAGAAAGATCTTCCTTCCACTGGTTCACCCCCTGAATGGCCATTACAGCCAGAGCTATGCTGATCTGAAGCCAGGAGCCAGGAGCTTCTTCCTGCTTCCTGGTCTCCCAATCGGGTGCAGGAACCTTTTTTTTTTTTTTTAGGATGCATTGGGTGTATTTTTTTAATATTTATTTATTTATTTGAAAATCAGAGTTACACAGAGAGAGGAGAGGCAGAGAGTGAGAGGGAGAGGTCTTCTATCCTCCTGTTCACTCCCCAATTGGCCACAACGGCCAGAGCTGCACCGATATGAAGCCAGGAGCTTCCCCCAGGCCTCCCATGCAGGTGCAGGGGCCCAAGGACTTGGGCCATCCTCCACTGCTTTCCCAGGCTCATTAGCAGAGAACTGGATCGGGAAGTGGAGCAGCCGGGACTTGAACCAGTGCCCACATGGGACGCCAGCACCTCAGGCCAGGGCATTAACCTGCTGTGCCACAGCATTGGCCCGTTAAACTTTTTTTTAATTGCAAAGTTTTCTTCAGATTTGTACTCAGGCTTGAAATGTATAATGATTTAAGATAATCTTCATTTCTTTTTCATTTTACAGGATTAAAAGAAATAAAAGTCCTCTGTGATTTTATTATGCTTTCTAGAAAGAAAAGCCCTAGCTAATTCTAGGAGTGTTATAGCCAAAATTTTGATAATGTCCACTGAGACACAGAAGCTAGATTTACACTTATCACTCAAGTTTTTCTCCTTAAACAGCCTTTTGTAATCTTAATTCACTATTGATAAAAAGGGTGAGTCTACTAAACATCCCAGCGATCTCCTAATTAGAAGTTATTACAGATGATTAAAAAATACAATTTTTTAAAAACATTTATTTATTTTGAAAGAATTACAGAGAGAGCAGAGAGAGAGAGAGCTCTTCAACTCACTGGTTCACTCTGCAGGTGATGGCAGCGGCCAGTGCCAAACCAGACTGAAGCCAGGAGCTTTATCCAAATCTTCCACATAGATGGCGGATGCCCAAACACTTGGCCATCTACTGCTGCTGTTCCCAGGCCATTGTCAGGGAACTGAATCAGAAATGGAACAGCCAGGACATGAACCAGCACCCTTGTAGGATGCTGACTTCACAGGCGGTGGCTTTACCCACTATACCACAATACCAAGCCCACAATTCTATTTTTTAAAAAAATTACTTACTTGAAAGGCAGACTGAGAGAGATTTCCATCTACTGGTTCAGTCCTCAAACGCCTGCAACAGCCGAGGCAAGGCCAGGCCAAACGAGGAGCCAGGAGCCCTGTCCAGGTCTCCTGTGTGGTCAGTAGGAACCCAGGTATTTGGGTCGTTATCTGCTGCCTCCCAGGCACATCTCAAACCAGACACTGCAGTGTGGGATGCAGGCGCTCGAATGAGCAGTCCACCTACCCTGCTACATGGACCACCCCTAGAAAACACAATCACTGGGGCATTTGTTGTGGTGGGTGAGAAGCCCCGTGCGAAGGAGATCGCAGGAATGGCTCAAGTAGTTGGGTCCCTGCCGTCCATGAGGGAGACCCGGTTGAGTACTGACCCCCAACTTCAGGTTGATCCGGCCCCGGCTGTTGCAGGAATTTGCAGGGTGAACCAATGACTAGAAGACCTCTGTCTGCCTGCCTTTCAAATAAATAAAGTACTTTTTAAGAAATACAATTGTTGCAGCTTTTTGTGGCCAGAGAATTTCATATATTGATAAAAGCACTGTGGATAGAATTTCTTAAGCTTTTATTTGAACTTTGAGTTGTTGCTTAGTGTTGTTGTTCTGTTATTTTCTCATTTCTTTCTATTTTAGAAGAAAATGGCGTGTGTGTTAAAACTACAGACGAAACCACAACAGACAATTACGTTGCACAAGGTATGTATACATGTGTGTGAATATATGTCCTTTTGCATATATCAGCACAAAAAGTTATTTTCCTCATATTATGCTGACAAAACCACTGGTATTTTACACAGCTCAAACTTTCTATTAACATGTATTTTTTTCCTCTTTTTGAAATTCCTCTTTTTAAGGATTTATTTATGTATTTGAAAATCAGAGTCAAAGAGAGACTGAGACAGAGAGAGGTCTTCCATCTGCTGGTTCACTTCCCAAATGGTCACAATGGCCGTAGCTGGGCCAATCTGAAGCCAGGAGCCTGGAGCTTCTTCCAGGTCTTCCAAGTGGATGCAGGGACCCAAGGACTTGGGCCATCTTCTGCTGTTTTCCCAGGTGCATTAGCATGGAGCTGGATCAGAAGTGGAGCATCTGGGAATCAAACCGGCACCCATATGGGATGCCAGCACTGGAGGCAGTGTCTTTACCCACTGTGCCACAGTGCCAGCCCCTTAACATGTGTTTTGTTCACATCTCTAATATATGGTGATATCTTTGAAAGCAATTCAAGATCTTAACCATGTGGATGAAAATGAAGTTCTATGTGACAAGTTAAACAGTTAAGATTTTCTGATTCTTTAAAAATTGCTCATCAGTTTGATTGATACCAATCCCACTGAATTAACTAGAAGACCCTGTTTTCCAGCTATAGGAATATACCATATTCCTTAGGTCATGCATATACTTTAAAATGTATGAGACATTATAAATTCATATAAAAAGGATATCAATTTAAAATTTCAGTACTCTGGGGCTGGCACTGTGGTGCAGCAGATTAAATCGCCAGCCTGCAGCACCAGCATCCCATATGGGCGCCGGTTCGAGTCCCAGCTGCTCCACTTCCGATCCAGCTCTCTGCTATGGCCTGGGAAGGCAGTAAAGGATGGCCCAAGTCCTTGAGTCCCTGCACCCGCATGGGAGGCCTGGAAGAGGCTCGAGACTCCTGGTTCCTGGCTTTGGATCCGCTCAGCTCTGGCTGTTGCAGTCATCTGGGGAGTGAACCAGTGGATAGAAGACTTCTCTCTCTCTCTCCGGCTCTACCTCTCTCTGTAACTCTGTCTTTCAAATAAATAAGTTTTAAAATAAAATAAAATGTCAGTACTCTTTTTTCCCCTTGTTTTTTAAAAAATCTTGATTGTAAGTGTGTTTTGAATCCAAACAAAGAGTATAGTGGGATGGAGAAGCCACAGCCTATATATTTCCAAGCTGTAATTCTGTATTGGTTGCTCAGCAGTTTAGTGTTGCCCTTAATTCAAAGATGAACAGACTTAAAACTCTGCTAACAGAGTATGGTTTAATAATTACTACACAGTCCTTCCAATAATCATGTTCACTTGGCATCTTCAACTAATTTGGTAACATTCAAATCACTCAAAAGAATTTATTCTACTTAATTTCTCTGTTGAAGGGAAAACTGACATTATGATATACTATAAAAGGTATCAGGGTTTAGAGCATCATTCCATTTCTTTGTGGTGTTAGTTGTGTAGTTTAGATCTCACATCTTCAGAACTGCTTTAAATCCTTTTTAGAATAAAGTAAAACTTTACAAATATTTAAAGGGAGTAGGCACTGTGGCCTAGCAAGTTAAGCTGTGCTTGGGGATGCCTGCATCAGCTCCTAGCTACACTGCGCTTCTGATCCAGCGCCTGCTGGTGCACCTGGGAGGCAGCACATAATGGCCCAAGTACCTGGGTCCTTGGCACCTGTGTCGGAGACCTGAATGGAGTTCCAGGCTCCTGGTCTTGGCTGCCTCAGCCCCAGCCATTTGAGAAATGACCCAGTGGGTGGAAGATCTTTCGGTCTTTCCCTCTCTACTACTCTTTCAAATAAATCTTTAAAAAATAAACAGGGGCAGTGTTGGGCGCAGTGGGTTAAGCTGCCGCCTGCAACACCAACATCCCGTATGAGCACTGGTTCCTGTCCGGCCCCCTGCTGATGCTCCTGGGAAGACAGCAGAAGATCCAAGTGCGTGGGCCCTGGCACCCATGCAGGGGACAAGAATAAAGCTCTGGCTTCGGCCTGACCCAGTTCCAGCCATTACAGTCATTTGGGGAGTGAACCAACAAATGGAAGGCGTTTCTCTCCCCGTGTGGCTCTCCCTTTCATAAATATTTAAATTAATTTTTAAATCTCTGGGCCTTTTTCATATATGAAAAATTAAGGACATTTAGACTAATCTCTGTAGGCTGTTGTGTAACTCTGAAACTAAATTATATGATTATTCTAAAACTGATCTATCAACACATAAAAATCTCCGAGACAGAAAATGTAAGGGAGAAGAAAAGGCACTGCCGATAGTCACTGTTGAGGGCTTCCGTTGGGTTTGTCTCGGACTTTGCTGTAACAGGTACTGTACCTGCGTGTGTGTGCTTTCATTGTGTGCCTTTCATACGGAATGATCAAATTTTAATTATCTGATTTAATGGGGGCCAAGCTATTTTTTATGTAAAAAGGCAACAATTTATCAATCATATTTTTCTTTTATCATTTTCATGCATCAGATTTGCCTTCTGAATAATTTTGCTTAAGCAGAGGTTACCTACTATTTCTGTAGAAATGAAATTTGAACATTCGGGCAAAATCATCTGTTATTCCTTTTGTGACTGGAATGATGCTAAGGTCTTGTTCGCCAGCCTCCTTTCACCCAAAACAGAAAGACAGTACTGTGGCAAATGAGAGTGCACATCTGCGTCCAAGCTCTCAAAACCTTTTGTATTGTTTCTTGTTCTTGAAGACCTACTATGTATCCAGTACCAAGCATTCAACAGAGACTACGGATGTCAAAATGAAGGACATTGACCCCAGGAAGTTAAAATATAATTTGGGGAGAAAGGACTTGCAACACTAGACAAGAAAAAATGATAGAACTTTAGTCAAACTGCAGAGTTAGTGTAGAATTCATACTAGTGAAATTTATTGACTAGTGCAGAATTCATAAGTGGTTTCCTACAGGAGATGCAAATAGAATTGAGGTTTGAAGTTGAAGGTGAGAGGAAGGCTGACTCAGCAAACAGGGGCACACCTGAGAGAGGGCAGTGGAAATGTCAAGCGTGAGTTCTCGGGCTAAGGCTGGACAGACTGACGTGGTCGTCAGAGGGTTAGACCTGAGGTGACACAGTTATAAAAATGTCTAGTTTGTAATTTTTAAGAGAACGCTAACTTCCTATGTGTTTACTCTAGGGAAGAGAAAAAGTAATGAAGTGATCCCAAATTTAGCCAAGAAGCAGAAGACTGACGTCAGTACCGAACATCCTCCCTTTTATTACAATATCCACAGACACAGCATTAAAGGGATGAATATGCCAAAGTAAGAGAGCCCGTGATGGCAAAGTGTGTACTGTACATGGAGAAACGCTGGGAAACAAAAATACAGGAAACTAATTTCTTTTCCTTTCTTTGTTGCAGGTTAAAAAAGTTTTTGTGCTATCTTTCTCAAGCAGGTTTTAGAGTAAGCCGGACTCATTTTGACCCAATGGGCGTTCGTACGGATGCACCTCTGGTGCAGTTTAAGTCGATCCTTTTAAAGTACAGCACCCCCACCTACGCTGGCGGACAGGCAGAGGGCCACGTCCAGCCGGCAGCTGAGGACACAGCAGCCAGCAGGGCTGGAACGTCTGCGAAGGAGAGAGCAGAAGCAAGTGGCTGCAGAAGATGGTAAATGCAGAGAAGAGCCTGCGTGTTCCACACAACCGTAGGTCCTTTCCTAACCTTTCCGTTCAGTGCTAGAAGAATAAAGTGCTGTTTTCATTCAGAAAATTAGTTTTTAACCTAGCTGGTTTGGGAGCTTTGCATCCCAAGATTTTCTTATTTTAAAGAAAAGTTTTTAAGGAAACATTTCATATGAAACCAAGATTCTGATGGAGATCACCCTACTGTTTAATAATTTGGAGAATTTTCATATGCAAAGTGTTTGGAATTTAATGTGCATTATGGAAGCCATCTTTACTATTGTTAACCACATCTCTACTTGAACTTCATGATGCTTGTTTTCTTGTATGTAGCATACAAAGTGAAGCCAAAGCCTTTTTCCTATTAGAATGACCTGAATAGGTCACTGGTGTATTTCATAATTGCAAAGCTAAAATACGTTACCATGTTTAAGAAATCAAACTTCACATAGATTGTATTATCAGCTTTTAAGAAACACTCACCTGAGGTAGAAAATATTTTTTTCTTACAAGTTTAAGGTCTAGATAACTAAATCCAGAATAAGATTTTGTCAAAATAGAGACCATTGTTCTAACAACTGTTCATAAGCACTGAAATCCTGAAGAAGAGACACTTCATCTTAAACTAAACAGGTCTGGGTGATCTCAAGTGCCTCGGTAATGCACATCTAACAACCACTCGCTTGGCTGTGCTGCCTCTCAGGAGTAGTGTGTGCCCCTCTGAAATGAGCATTTCTAGTGTGGGGGTTGGTTGAAATTTTCTTTTTTTTTTGAATTGTGTGTATGTAAATTTTTGTATAAGTAGCCTTGGCTAGCACAATTATAAAAATTGAAAAAAATCTTTATTTTCACTAAGCTCATTCTTGCTTCATTTGAGTGTAAGATTTTAGATGTAGTCTTCCTGTAAGCAGGCCTAGGTGATCTGTGAAAATGGTTCACTACTGACTTAATCCAGAAAACGCACTGCCCAGGCTGTCAGGCAGGCATGTCCGAAAAGCCACCAAGTATCTGAAAGATGTCACATTGAAGAAGCAATGTGTGTCACTCCCTCCGTAAAGTGATGGAATTGATGGTTGTACCCGGGCCACACAGTAGGGCAGAAAGAGTGCTGGGTTCCTGTTGTATATGCTTCAGAGTGCAGGGGGGTGCATGTAGGGTGCATGAAGGGTCAGGATGTAGATTCTCTGGTCATGGAACGGATCCAGGTGAACAAAGCACCCACGAGGCACCACCCGTGGTCAGATTAACCCATACTGAGAGCATCGCCACTGAAAAAGAACAGACCGTTCCTAACGCAGAGGAGGAAGGAAAGAAAAAGATACTCCAGAATAAACTGGAGAGACAACATAAAATAAATGTAAGTTAAGACCAAAAAAAGATTTTGCCCTGAGTATTTCCTAGGGCAAGTAACCTTTAGAACCATCAGCTTGCACCTGTTGGTGTTGGTATGCTGCCATCTTCCTTCCTTCCACACCAAGAGGAAACCTAAGCCAGTCACCCAAGCTGTGATTCCCTGCGCCTGCGGTCCTCTCGAAGTCTGGGTTTTTAGTTTCACTTAACTAAAGGAATAGCTGCAAGTGTTCAGGAACATTCATCTGTAGTTCTCCCTGTGATGCCTGAGGTTTTAGTATAATGCTGACAGGCCTCATAGAATGACTTGGATGAGTACTTGGATGAGTTTTAATTTTTCTGTAAACATTTGGTAGACTTCACCTGCAGAGCCACTTGGTCCTGGGCATTTTTATGAGAAGCTTTCTGATCACTAATGCAATGACTTATAAAAACCCATTCAGATAGAAGTTTGTATCTTTCCAGGAATTTTGTCCACCATATTGGCATTACATAATTTGTTAGCACACAGGTTTGTTTTTTTTTTTTTTTTTTTAACACTTACTTTATTTAAAAGGCAGAGTGACAAAGAGGATTGGGGGATGGGGGCAGGGAAAGAGAGAGAGGAGAGAAGAGAATCTTCCCCCGACTGGTTCACTCCCCAAAGAGCCTCAACAGCTAGGGCTGGGCCGGGCTGGGCCGGGCTGGGCCAGGCTGAAGCCAGAAGGTGGAATCCATCCAGGGCTCCCATGTGGGGGGCAAGGACCTAAGCACTTGGGCCTTCATCTTCTGCCTTCCCAGGCTCGTTGGTAGGAAGCTGGATCAGAAACTTACATCCCACCTGGGGTAACAGGATCACAACGGGAGCTTTCACCTGCTGTACCACATTTTTCTTTGCCTCTCTCTCCTGAAATTCTACTCTGCAAGTTAGTATACTTGATGGTATCCCACAGGCCTCGAGGCCCTGCTCATTTGTCCGCACTCTCTTCCAAATAGAATATTTTCAATTGGCCTGTCTTCGTTAATTTGTCTATCATTTTGTCTATCAAATCCAGTTTTGCAGTTCTATCAGACGTTTCTTTTATTTCGCAGCCTGACTTTCTGCTCCCCACCCCTCCCCATACTTTACTTCTATTGGTATTTTCTCTTTATTGAGACATTCCTCCCATATTTAGTTCTTTAGACATGACCTTTAGTTCCAGGTTCTTGACTTTGGCCTGGCCCAGTGATCCTTGTGGCCATCTGGGGAGTGCACCAACAGAAGGAAGGTGTATGTGTGTGTTTAACTGCCTTTCAAACAAATACACAAATCCTTTAAAAAATTATTGAAAAATAACACTATTGGGCAATTCTGGAAATTAGAATTTCTTCACACATGCCCAGGGTTTACTGTGTCTGTTTCGTAACCTTCCTGGACTCATTCTGTAAAGTATGCATTCTTTGCTGTGTGTGGCCACTTAAGTCTGCTTCATTAGCTTAGTGGCCAGCTCATACCTGGCAAAGACTCCTTTAAATGCCTTAAGCCACTCTCTCAGCCTTTGTTGGCGTATGCCTTCACCACTCCAGCATGTAGTTTATTTACAGTGTGCCTTAGCCCTCACTTCCTGCTTGCTCAGAGCCTCATAGGCTACCACAGGTGAGGCTAGTGCCTTAAGGTTTTATCTTAAGCAAGCAGACAGCTAAGCACATGTGTGTGCCCTTTGAGATAGCATGGAATATGCTGGAACCTCTCAGAGCCCTCTACAGACAGTCCATTTGTCGTCTCTTGGTAGCCCTTACTGTCCCAGGCAATTGCTGTTAAGCTACTTTTCACAAATACTCTGAGGATAGAGGTTCTACATAGTGAGCTGAGTCAAGTCTGCTGCATCGAGGTGCCAGGCAGGTCAGTGACAGTTTTCTGGGGTGACATTTGGGGGGCAGCAGGAAGGTAGGAGTTGCAGGACCATTCTTCAAGAAACTTTAAACTTAGTTTTTCTGGGTTACTTCAAGGCCCCTGCAGTGGCTGGCAGGACGCTAATTTTCACAGCTGTCACCATTATGAGACTTAGTTTTCAAGGTTACCCAGAAACTAAGGAAGGAGGAATAAAGCATGTTAAAAAACTACAAAACTATTGAGCTCTGATCATTGGAGGCCTTTGGTTTTGAAAAAGTTGATTTTGACAATTTTTTTGTTTTGCTTTTTAGAACCAATTTTTCAAAGGTCCTTAATCCACTAATCCAGGAGTTCTCCAGAAAGTTTAATTAATACTTCTTTCTTATAAATAGTTGTGCTTGTCATATTAGCATACAAAAAGATACAAATAGAAATCACAAAACAACTATTTCTAAGTAGAAATGCAATGGGAATTTAAATGAAAAGGCTTTTCTCATCTGGCATTTGAATTATTCCATGTTTGCTTATCCAAGTAATAATACTGGGCTTAGTTCTGTCAAATGTACAGGGAAAAATCATGTCTTCCTCACAAGGCTCAGAAGATTAAAAGTAATGGAAAACCTATAAAGGTACAATAATCAAAACTGTGGTACAGGCAGAAGGACAGACAGACCAACAGACTAGGGTCCAGAGAAAGTCTCACCTGTATGAGTCATCAGAATAGTTCATGGAAAAGTTATGAAAAAGCTGCATCGACTTCAGTTTTTTTTAACCAAAGTTATCTTTTAAGTCCATTTTCCATGAATGTTTTCCAAAGACTCTCATATGGTCCATGGAGTTTGAACAAGGATGCAAGATCATTCAGTGGACCCTTCAGCAACCGATCACACTGGGTATCCCCATGGAAGTGAACAGGGCTGGACCACAAACAAAACTCAAGATGGGCCAAAGACCAAATGGAAGAGCTAAAACTCACAAGAAAACAGAAAAATCTTTATGACAATGGATTTGGCAATAACTTCTTGGGACAGGAGACTGACTATAAGCACAGCCGCCAACAACAACAAAATAGATACGTAGATACGTTGAATATCATTAAAATTTTTTTGTACATCAAAGGAAATTCTTAGAGTGGAAAGAAAACTCAAGGAATAGGAGAAAATATTTAAAATCATACATGATAATGATTAAAATAAAGAATATAAAAATATAACTCCTACAAGTCAACAACAAAGCACTCCAACAAAAACTGGGCAAGGAACTTGAATACACCATTACTCCACAGAAGACACACGAACAGCCAGTTAAGCACATGAGAAGATGCTCACAGCCAGTAGGGAAATGCAAATGAAAGCCACACTGAGCGGATATGCCCGTTAGGAGAGCTACTGAGAAAGAAAGAACAGAAGATAACGAACACTGCAGGGGATGTGGAAAAAAACTGGCACCCTGGTTCGTGTGATCCGTTTGAACACAAAAATGGTGCTGCCGCTGTAGGAAACAATTTGGGGGTCCTCAAAAAATGAAATATAGAATTATATGATTCAGCAGTTCCTCTCTTATATGCTCAGTGCAGTATTACAACAGCACAAAGTGTATATTAACCTAAATGTCCATCAATAGATGGGTAAACAAAATGTGGCATGTACATAACAATGATATTTTTCATCCAGAAAAAGAAATGAAATTCTGATACATGCTATTTCATGGGTGAACTGTAAAAATATTACAGGATTCTAAATTCAGAGAGAGAAAGCAAAATAGAGGTTCAGAGCATTGAAGAAGGAAACAGAGAGTTGTGTTTATAGCATAGAGTTTCCA